TATGTCAAATTGTATACAGTTCATAGGAAAATAACATTATAGTCAAAACACAAGTCTTCCGCAAAGAGAATGGTAACTTTACATATTTACAGTTGGGAAAAGATAAAACAAATGAACATGTAATTTTATCTTCTCAGTCTCATGATAACTTACAACACTGTTATATTCTTGAACTTCTTTTTTCCCTCTATAAATAAAGGGTAAATGGACTGCACTTGTTCAGCGCTTTCCTAGTCTGCTCACCACTCAAATCGCTTTTTGGTTACATGTCACATTCATCCATTCACACACTGGTGGCCGAGGCTACTCAGTAACCACTCACATGCACTCACACACTGATAGAACAGCCATCGGGAGCAATTTAGGGTTCAGTATCTTGCCCAAGGATACTATGACATGCAAACTGGAGGATCTAGAGATCAAACCATCGATCTTCTGATTAGTGGACGACCCACTCTACCTCTGAGCCACAGCCGCCCCGACTTATGACTTTATTCTTGAGCCCTGGAGCCATAACAAATTTGGCCTAAATACTTCTATACTGATATCTGTATTTCTACAAAAGTGTCCCAAACACTGCTGTAAAAAAACTGAATCAGTGCATTCATACTATATTCTCAAGTTAAGTCTACATACTCACCACACATTGAGCAAGTTGGAGTGTAAATGCAAGCTGTGAGGAAATCGAGGAGCATGAGCCACCCAGTACGGCGTCACTACGTGCTGTTCGAGCCAGGCCCGGGCGTCAGGCTCACCCACTGGAAGGACACAAACTAGGGTCATTTTGAATATTCAAAATGAGCTTAAGCATACTGTAGACACACAGATGCGTGTAATGAAGATGCTGCGTGATCTGTTCGCACCTGTCCATGTAACTGGAACTGTCTTGTTGTTGATGTCCTGGTCTTCCTGGGGCGTTCTGTCCAACTGGATCCCAGAGTCCTCCCTGCTGATTGGCTCCTGGCTGTCTTCATCCTCGCTCTCCTCAGACCATTCCTAAAAAACAGGCAAGACTGATGTAGATGGAAATCCATGCAGACTAGATGGGGGGCTATTATAATGCTTATTTTACCACAGCTTTAACATGTAGAGGACAAAAAAAAGACTTAAGTGTAAATAAATAAATAAATTAGTAAATGTATAAATAAATACTGGAATAAATAATTAAATAAATACAGAAATAAATGAATAAAACAAAAAAATAAATGCTAAAATAAGCACAAAAATAAAAAATGCATAAATAGATTTAAGGAAAAAAAATAATAAATAAGTGGTGAAATAAACAGATAAATGCATAAAAAGAAATGCTGTAAAAAATAAATGATCGAGAAACAGGACATAAATAATCTTAAATTTATTTCTTTTTGTTTCTGTATTTGTTTATTAATACACTTGGTTATCTATTGAGACTTTTCCTCCTCCATACCTACACACCCACAGTAAAATACAACAATATTTGGCTGTGGGTACTGCACACATTAATGTCCATACAGGGTGGGTCTGGTTATGATGTACTCACAGGGGTATCTGGATATGGTCCGATGTCTATGTCCTCACCCTCCATCAGATATTTAGCCCAGTCAAAGTTGTCCTCCTCTTCTGCAGACACAAGATGAAGCCATTGTGATTAATACGGACATGTTAGCATTTTAAAAGGCTTTAAAAGCTCCTCAAGTAAAAATTAAGTCTCACTGACCGGCCTCCTTTACCCTGGGTCTCTCAGTAAAGTTAGTGTTTGAGGGGGACTCCGATAAGAAGAGCAGCAGGGACAGGACCCTGTAGTGTACATCAGTCTGCAAAAAAAAAAATATATATATATATACATATATATATATATATATATATAAAATAAAAACATAGAAAGCTATGCTGTATATAATTTGTCACATCTGGGGCTTTTAGCTTCAGGACACATGAGCTAAGAGGAAGGGAATCTATTTAGGTTTTGTTTTGAGGGATGTGTTAATGAGTGATTTTTCTGTCAGCCCATGTCTGTGTCATACCTTTGTTCCATCTGTATTAGGTAAAGGTGAGTTCAGGAACTCTTCAGTCAGCCTCATCCAGCTTCCTGCTTTACTCAAGTCTGAGTGGACCATGAGCTTCTCGTAGATTCTGGAAAACACAGCAGACAGTGTCATGCAAAAGACCTGTGGTGTAATATAATGGGACATTAAAAAACATTATCTTCCTGAAGGCAAAATCAATCAGATCGATGAGTTTTGGGGAGGCTTCTTCAGAAAAACTTAAAAATGGAACATCCAGGGATGGATTTTACTACTTTATGTTTAACTTATTAATAAAAAAGATAAAGAATACTGTTGAAAACAAAGACTATGTTGTGCAGATGTTCAATAGATGACTCTGATATGAAAGAGGTCGACAGCACTGATGCAAATTCCTCGTGTTACAAAGGTTCGATTGGAAGAGAACATCAACAGTGTAGCTTGTTACGTTTTTGTCATGCAATCATATTTTATGCAAACATACTTTATACGTCTCCTCTACCACATCTCAAGAGAAAAATATGGTACTTTTTACTCCACTGCATTCAGTTGATAACTTTAGTTATGAGCAGATTCAGATTCATAATCCAAACTATAATCAACACATAAATTATGATTTATCCTTACAAGTTAAGATTAGACTGTGTTGATGCCCAGGGAGAATTTACAAGCTACTCATTAGTATAATTAAAATGAGCTCCACCTTTACCAGCTGCAACATTAAAGTGAGGAACACATTACTACATTAACGCTGGTTTCAATATTAGAACATGCATTTTTCTGAAATGGGCCTTTCTGCAAGGTGAGGTGAGGTAAACTTTATTGTCCCTTGCCCTTTCACTTAAGTACAAGATATGAGACTTGAAGACTGGTGGAAAAATATCCAGCAGGTTATCTTTGATGAGGGTCCAAAAGGGTCCAAGTTTCTACAAAACTGTCTATCTTTGATTCAACCTTGGATCTTCAGGACTCTGGCTTGTCCTGTTTTGAGAAGAGATGCATTAACTTCACTTTTATAACAGCAAAACAGATAATACTGAAGCACTAGAGACAAAAACACCCACCCTCGTGGGCAGAATGGACTACGAAAATGGCTTAATTGGCTGTTTATGAGAGGGTAACATACTCTCTACGGGATAAATATTTTTATTTATTTATTTAACCCATATTTAACCAGGTAAGTCCCGCTGAGATCAAGAATCTCTTTAACTAGGGAGACCTGGCCGAGACAGTAGCACACATGAAGTTACAGCCATACAACCACACATTAAAAAACACATTAAAGAGACACAGTAGCAGGTAGAAAAACCAGAAAACCTACACACAATGACAAGACCCAACCGACCCATTCATCCTTGTACTTATGAGAGCTTAAAATCAGATGGAGAGACCGATTCACGTAGTTTCAAACCCTCTTGAAGGTTATTCCAAGTGAGAGGAACAAAGCACATAAAAGCTGTCTTTCCCAGCTCAGTCTGTGCACCAGGAACAGACAGCAAAACTAAGTCTTGAGATCTCAGACTGAAGAAGCTACAGTCAGATTTCAGTATGGCTTTATAAATGAACAGATACCAGTGACTGAGACTATGAAAGGTCAAAGAAGGCCGACCAGCCCTGGGACAAAGCGTACAGTGGTGAATGAGGGCTTTACAGCATGTAATAAATCTCACTGCACTATGATGTGTATCAGTAATATGTTCAGTATACGTCGACACGGGCTGGCTGCATGCAGCTTAGGGGTCAATGCAATAGTGCAGAGTAACTGAAAGAAAGCTGGATTTGAGCTTGGAGATGATGTCAGTGTGTGAGTGCATGTGCCAATATCATTACTTTTATTTTATAGTTTTGTTCCTTTGGTTGCATTTGTTCTTTTTTCCCATCTCTGGCAGGTATTTTGGGAGTGCGTATGCAGTGTATGATGCATACTTGTTGTTTCAACTTTGAAATAAAAGAAAAATGTGCATTGTAAAAGAAACAAAAGTACAAGATATGAGTGCTTCTCCCACCACTGAAAATAACTGTTACGCCCCTGTAAAACACAGTAGGTAATACAAGAGACAGGAGAAGCTAGCACCACACACTCACCCACTTATACTGCGTTGGACTTTATGGCTGTCCACGTCCAGGTAACGATGAAACCTGTCAAGAGAAGAGACTGTTACTAACATCACCGCTTGTGGCTAACGTTTGGTTACATGTTAGCAAGCTGCCAAGCTAGCTCCCGTCCTGTCAACGGCGTTAACTCACCTGAAATTAGACCAGGCAAACTTCAGTGCCAGCTGAAAGTTCTGGTCCTCCTCATCCTCCTCGAGCCCGCTGATGCATCTTATCAACTTCTTCGTTTCCCTCTCCGTCTCCTTTTCGAAGGTGCTCCAGTGTGCCATGTTGATGTTGACAGCGGTGCCGCAGTTAGCTTCACGCTACGAGCATCTACATGTAGCAGGAGAACTTATCTGTCAGTGTTGCTGCTGGCCTGGTGATTCTAGCTAGCTAGCACGGACAAGAAAATGTTAGTGATAACGCCATTTATCGCAACGACACGACAGATTTATGTATCCATTGATTCCTTCATCGGCGCGCGGCGTTTGCCTCCAACAACAAACGTTAGCGACTAATAGCGAGTGCGCATGCGTGACATTAAAGTAAAGTAAAAATGAATATATTTCAATTATTTTAAAGTAAAAATTCACGTTTTGAAACTGTCAACTTGGCCAGCGAAATGTTTAAATGTCTACTACTAAGAATATACTACCGAAAAACAAGCTAGTCAAAGGCAGCACTTATTGCTAACTAAACTCCCATAATGCATTGCGCTCCAGTACGGTTAAAATAGGTAGCAGCCGTTGGAGTCTCTTCCATTCAAGGCTCTTTGTGATTTCCAATTTAACGGCGCACCTCCTCGCTCGCCATCCTACGTAGTTTTATGACTTTGACGCAAAGAGATAAGTAGCCTAAACATACACATTTTTATAACGCTTTTATTGCCGTTATTTGATATTGTGTTTTATCACGTATTTGTAAACAGGAAAGAGAAATAATCTGCTGGCTGATTTGTCTTTAATGGGGCGTGGTTAATCCCCCCCACACACTCCTTCCTCCCGCACACACATAACTTTACAGTGGACCACGGGGCTCACAAAGCGCCGTGCCGACCCTCCAGAGAAGCAGCTACCCAGCCCTCTCCCGGCCAAAGGAAATGAAGAGGAGGCTACACAAGAAATACTTGGTTTTGATCCTGGCATATTCAGGTTTACTGTTGCTAATCCCGTACGTGTTAGATTACCGGGATAAATCCGTTCAACACTCCAAACATGGACTACCGCAGCAACAGCCCAGATGCCCAGATTTGGAGAACACAGTGGCGCTGCTGTGGGATAACGGTTACAAACTTAACGGCAGCGACGCGACGGAGCACGCAGTCAACCGGAGCCAGTCTCGGATACACATCTACCTGCATGCCACCTGGAGGACCGGCTCGTCGTTTTTGGGGGAGCTGTTCAACCAGCACCCCGATGTTTTCTACCTGTACGAGCCCATGTGGCACATATGGCAGGCTCTGTACCCGGGGGATGCGGGCAGCCTCCAGGGCGCAGTGCGGGACATGATGAACGCGCTCTACCGCTGCGACTTCTCCGTCCTCAAACTTTACGCAGGCTCCCAAAACATCACCACCTCGTTCATATTCGGCTGGAAGATGAACAAGGTGATCTGCTCGGAGCCGCTGTGTGACGCGCACAAACGGCACGAAATCGGGCTGGTGAAGGAGGACCAGTGCGCAAAGTGCCAAAAGCGGGACATCAGGGAGCTGGAGAAGGAGTGCAAAAAATACCCGGTGATGGTGATCAAAGGAGTGCGCGTTTTGGACCTGAGCACGCTGGTTCCTTTGATGAAAGATCCGGCGATAAACCTCCAGATCATTCAGCTCTTCCGAGACCCGAGGGCCGTGCACAACTCCCGTTTGAAATCCAAGCAGGCCCTGGTGAAGGAGAGCATCCAGGTGCTGAGGAGTAAGAAGCAGACCGACAAGTACAAGCGGCTCCTGGTGCCGAACAACAGGGTGAACCGGGCTGAGAGCTACGTCTCCAGCGCCATGGAGCTCATCTGTGACAACTGGCTCAGTGACATGTTGCTGGTGATGAACGCGCCTCCCTGGGTGAGGAGGAACTACCTCCGCATCCGATACGAGGACCTGGTCCTGCACCCCATGGAGGAGCTCCAGAGGCTCTTCCGATTCTCTAACCTCTCCAGCTCCTTGGCTCTGGAGAAGTTTGCGCTGAACATGACGCACGGACAGGGCTATTCATCGGACAGGCCGTTCCTGATATCATCAAGGGATGCAAAAGAGGCTATATATGCCTGGAGGGAGCGACTCAATGTTGAGCAGATCAATCAGGTGGAGGCCTACTGCAGCGAGGTCATGAGGCAGCTGGGCTATCAGAAAAACAGCATGGAGAAAACAACATGATGTGCAGTGAGGAATCAACGGGTTCAGGTGAGATCACAGTTCAGTAGACTGCAGGCTGATATCAGCTGAGTGTGTGGCAGTGAGACAAAGCAGAAGAGTGCCCTCGGTGCATACACTCATGTTTCTATACCTTTACTGAAGTTAGTGCAGGAAGTTTGTGGTTTGACTGAAACCATTACTCAGGCTCCACGTCTGCTGGTGCTGAGCTCTGAGGCTGATCCTTGACCTCTGACCTCCCTCTGACTGAGGCAAATTGAAAACAGAGCGTCCATATGGAGATCAGTAACACATTCTTAAATCGTTTGACACTGCAGGCGTAGACTGGCAACATGGTTGAATCTGATGCAGTTTAAGTCCCATATTGTTACTTCTCTAGGATGTATAATCTTGAGCAGAGACAGACACTCAGACATTGTTTTCTTGTTCATCTGCTGAAGGAGGAACATTTCAAAGACTCTGATTTTGTGACATCACAATGAAAGCCACTGATGGTGCAACATGCGTCTTACACAAGTGTGATGTGGAAAAATGAAGCCTGCAGTGTTCATATGCTGCAATTTTAAAAATTTTAAAAAGGTAAATTCATGGATGGATTACTGAACACGCTTACTGAGTACAAGCCCAGAGGCCAAACGTGTCAAGGGGACCCCCTGGTCTTCATCTGAAACTGTCACTCAGAGTAGCGCGCAACAACCAGGAAGAGACTCATAGTGACCACATAAGAGACAAAAAAAAAATACCACAAAGACATGCAAATGAAGTGGAAAGGGAAACAAAACGTCTACAGTGAGTCAAAATGTCTACAGTGAGACAAAATGGCCCCAAAAGACTCAAAATGACCAGAAAGAAAAAGAAAGAGACTACAGCAGGAAACAAAGTGACGACCAAGAAACACAGTTACTACAAAGAGACACTAAATGACTAGTAAGAGACACAAAAAGATTACAAGGGGAAACGAAATGACTACAAAGAGACACAATTATTACAGTGTGACGGAACAACTACAAAGAGACACAAAATGACTACAAAGAGACACAAAATGACTACAAAGAGACACAAAATGACTACAGTGGGAAGGAACGACTACAAAGAGACACACAATGACTACAAAGAGACACAATTACTACAGTGTGACGGAACAACTACAAAGAGACACAAAATGACTACAAAGAGACACAAAATGACTACAGTGGGACGGAACGACTACAAAGAGACACAAAATGACTACAGTGTGACAGAACAACTACAAAGAGACATAAAATGACTACAAAGAGCCACAAAATGACTACAAAGAGACAAAATGACTTAAAAGAGATATAAAATGACTACAAAGAGCCACAAAATGACTACAAAGAGACAAAATGACTTAAAAGAGACATAAAATGACTACAAAGAGCCACAAAATGACTTAAAAGAGATATAAAATGACTACAAAGAGCCACAAAATGACTACAAAGAGACACAATGACTTAAAAGAGATATAAAATGACTACAAAGAGCCACAAAATGACTACAAAGAGACAAAATGACTTAAAAGAGACATAAAATGACTACAAAGAGCCACAAAATGACTTAAAAGAGACAAAATGACTTAAAAGAGATATAAAATGACTACAAAGAGCCACACAATGACTACAAAGAGTCACAAAATGACTACAAAGAGACAAAATGACTTAAAAGAAATATAAAATGACTACAAAGAGCCACACAATGACTACAAAGAGTCACAAAATGACTACAAAGAGACAAAATGACTTAAAAGAGATATAAAATGACTACAAAGAGCCACACAATGACTACAAAGAGCCACAAAATGACTACAAAGAGACAAAATGACTTAAAAGAGATATAAAATGACTACAAAGAGCCACACAATGACTACAAAGAGTCACAAAATGACTACAAAGAGACAAAATGACTTAAAAGAGATATAAAATGACTACAAAGAGCCACACAATGACTACAAAGAGTCACAAAATGACTACAAAGAGACAAAATGACTTAAAAGAGATATAAAATGACTACAAAGAGCCACACAATGACTACAAAGAGTCACAAAATGACTACAAAGAGACAAAATGACTTAAAAGAGATATAAAATGACTACAAAGAGCCACACAATGACTACAAAGAGTCACAAAATGACTACAAAGAGACAAAATGACTTAAAAGAGATATAAAATGACTACAAAGAGCCACACAATGACTACAAAGAGACACAAAATGACTACAAAGAGACAAAATGACTTAAAAGAGATATAAAATGACTACAAAGAGCCACACAATGACTACAAAGAGACACAAAATGACTTAAAAGAGATATAAAATGACTACAAAGAGACACAAAATGACTACAGTGTGACGGAACAACTACAAAGAGACATAAAATGACTACAAAGAGACAAAATGACTTAAAAGAGACATAAAATGACTACAAAGATACACAAAATGACTACAGTGGGACAGAACGACTACAAAGAGATACAAAATGACTACAGTGGGACAGAACGACTACAAGGAGACACAAAATGACTACGAAGAGACACAATTACTATAAGGAGACACTAAATGACTACAAAGGTAAACAAAATGACTACAGTGGGACAGAACGACTACAAAGAGACACAAAAGAAACAAAGAGGACTACAGTGAGACACAATTACTACAAAGAGACACAAAACGACTACTGAGACACTAAACTACAAAGAGACACAAAATGACCACAAAGAGATACAAAATGACTACAAAGAGACACAAAATGACCACAAAGAGACACAAAATGACTACAAAGGGACACAAAATGACTACAGTGGGGCAGAACGACTACAAGGGGACACAAAATGACTACAGTGGGGCAGAACGACTACAAGGAGACACAAAATGACTACAAAGATACACAAAATGACTACAGTGGGACAGAACGACTACAAAGATACACAAAATGACCACAAAGAGACACAAAATGACTACATAGAGACACAAAATGACTACAGTGGGGCAGAACGACTACAAGGGGACACAAAATGACTACAGTGGGGCAGAACGACTACAAGGAGACACAAAATGACTACAAAGAGACACAAAATGACTACAGTGGGGCAGAACGACTACAAGGAGACACAAAATGACTACAAAGATACACAAAATGACTACAGTGGGACAGAACGACTACAAAGAGATACAAAATGACTACAAAGAGACACAAAATGACTACAAGGAGACAAAATGACTACAAAGAGACAATTACTATAAGGAGACACTAAATGACTACAAAGGAGAAAAAAATGACTACAGTGGGACAGAACGACTACAAAGAGACACAAAATGACTGCAAAGAGACACAAAGTGATGACAAAGAGACACAAAAGAACTACAAAGAGAAACAAAGAGGACTACAGTGAGACACAATTACTACAAAGAGACACAAAACGACTACTGAGACACTAAACTACAAAGAGACACAAAATGACCACAAAGAACCACAACAACCACATATAGGCATAAGACCACAACAAAACAAAAACAAAACCAACACTAAGTCTGTGTGTCTTGCTCCAATGATTGTGATGATTTTCAATTCTTCTCATTGTGCTCCCGCCTCATATTATCTGCTCACTGTGTTGTTCAGATAATAATGGACTCTGATCTTGTGCTGTCGATAACGGCTCATTACCTGTTAATGTGTCACAGTGTCACTTTCTTTAATATGTAGCTTTTCCTTTTAGTTTCCGTACAAGGTAATGGATCACCTGCAGGATATTAACACAGTGTTAGAGGGACGCCTGGACCCTGGAAACTGTCCCATGTTTTTGTGTCTACAGAGACAACAGTTTCTGAAACTGGTCCAGTACTGAGGGAAATCAAAACAGACTGCAGTGTGATCCCTACGGGCAGTTGTGTGTGTCAGTTTACATCCTTTAAAAGTTCTGTTTTTTGACACTGACAGGCTCGGACTGTTATTATAAATGTCTGACAACATTACAGAAAGGACCCTACACAGAAATGAAGCGTTTGTCTGAACCTCTCACTTGATCTTGATTTCAAATAACAATCTGAGCCTGTCAGTGGCAAAATGTCTTTGGATGGACGTAAATCGATGATGCGCAGTTGCTTGAAGGAGTACATTGTAGCCTGTTTCACCTCTGTCAGCTGCAGCAGTCTCTTTCAACACTGGACCAAATTCTGGTTAAACAAAAAGGACCTCACTCTTTAACGAAAAAGTCTGTCTTTTTAGGGTTCTCTCCACAACGTCGTCTGACACTTCTAATAGCAATCTGAGCCTGTCAGTGACAAAAACAAGTCTCTCAATGGACGTGCATGATTCCCAGAAGGAGTACATTGTAGCTTCTCTCAATATTGGACCAATTTCTGGTAAATAAAAAGGATCTCACTCTTTAATAAAAGTCTGTCTCTGTAGGGATCTTTCTACAGTGCTGTCAGACACTTATAAGAGTAATCTGAGCCTGTCAGCGGCAAAAACAGGCACTTTTACTGGACGTAAATTGACGTCATCTTTGTCAATACTGGACAAATGTCAAAAACTGTTGTCCCCATTTGTCATTTAGACAGGAAAAAACATGGGAAACAGGGTTCAGGTTCAAAAATACTTTGGTTTCCCTTTAAGATTAAAAAGGAAGCACGTTTGTTTGCACGCTCCAAACTTTCTGATTAATTCAGGCATTCCAGCGTTGCCATTCGAAACACAAGTGACACCACTGTGTAACAGATTTTTAGAGCTATCGGAGCGAGACAGTCACAGAAATGTTTCTCCCTCCTTAATGACCGACTGATCTGCTGTTTAATAGAGGCCTCATTGTTTTCCCTCTGGCAATGCCGCGTCCTCTCATGGAGAGCGGGGGGTGCTGGCAGCGAGTCACCGGGCCTCAGACTCTGCTGTCAAGAAGGGGATCATTGTATATGGCTGTCCGTGACAGGATAGAGCTCCCAGGGTTACCACCAGCCTGTCACCACCAGCTCACACAAGCAGCTGGGCTGCATGCAAGCCGTTGGCGTGCAGCAGAAACGGGGTGGAGGCAGTGGGTGCCCCTCGTCTCACCGCCTCCACACCATCTCTAGATAGAGCTATTGATGGAGGTCATGAACATTATACACCCTATAGAGAGTAGGGCTGGGCAACACAGGGCTGAACCCAGCACACTTGGCACCCTAAGCACCCACAGAACAAGAGCTAAGGGACTGTTTGTTATTTGTGAGGGGGGAGGGGCGGTGCAAAACAGTCCTATCGAATAATTTCTAAGCCCCGGGAGGAACTTGTGTTGTTTATATTGGCTAAGGAGAGGGATATACAACTTTATATGGTTGTATTTATTTTAAAAACCCTCTGAACCCCAAATCCCACTGGCCGGTTTAAAAGGCAAGTTTTATTTAAGAATTGACCTTTCGCTAAGCCCCACCCCCTTGTGATGGTCCGACGAGCTGTTAGAGTAAACATGGAGCCCACACTGTAACTAACTGCACTCCCTGAAGAAATATTATCATATTTTTGGAAAAATGAAACAGTGATTCCAGAGAGAAGCAGACAGAGGGGTCTACAGTCTGTGTTTGAAGGATATATCCAGGATGTCAAACTGACTCAGCAGCAACAACAGGTTAAAAAGACAAAGATAGTTAGAAGCTAAAGCCGAACTATAGGCTACAGATCACAGTGTAAAAGTGAACCACCACATCACTGCTGATCGCCACACAAGACAATGAATATAAAGGGAAACTTTGCTGATATTGAACCAGCTGTGTGGCATCACAGTGTGTGCAGATGAACAGTGTCTGGCTTCACCCCGTGCTGCTGCCAGCACCTGGACTTCCGCTGCCACAGGGAGGTCGGAGGAAGTCAAACAACATTCATTTGCACACAGTGTGATGCCACACAGCTGGTTCAATATGAGCAAAGTTTCCCTGCTTCCCTTCACTGGTTCCTGTACAGCAGGGTCGGTCTTTGTTTCACTGTTATAATCATTAAACAGCAAAAGCAGCACGTGTATACATTCAGTAGGCTGTATCTTCAGTAGCTAGCTAGCTAACCCTACACTTTTCAGGGTTTGATTTTGGTTTTGGAACAGGGAAGAAATGTATATCTTTTTCCAACCTCAAGCATCATTAATACACGACGTGCCCCAGGCACAACATTTAGCTCCAAATCCACAAAACCAGCCTGAAAATGAAGGAAATCTGAAACGACTGCATTAGAGTCAATGGAGCACAGCTGTGTTGTTGTCGGACCCTGGTCTGAGCCGGCCCGATATTACGGGTCCCAGTGAATGGTCAACTGCCAAAATTACACTATTTATATTATAGCCAGAAACTGTAAAAACAGAAATTATTTGGTGATTTTCAAACTCCAACAGTCCTTGAACACATCATGTGCGCTGTAGCCCTCTGTCTTAAAAATCACATTATTCTACATGTCTCGTAAACATTTCCGCACCAAACACATCCTGTGAAAAAATTAAATTAGATTTCTCTTTTCAACTTGCAACTTCTAACATCAAAGGGTTTGTAATTAAAATGTAAAAACGTCTACTGTGCCAAGTTACTGATAGTTCCACTGTTGTGTGCATTTGAGACGTGGGGAGGGTCGTGCATTTCAAGGCTCAGGGCACATACAGATTAGATGGTAGGCCTACCTATCTAACCTCAAACACAGCTGTAGAATCTAATATATATTTAGATTGCTTCTCCCCAATTTCTCTTCAAGAATTGACCGCAGTGATTTCTTCATCTAAATCATCAACGTGTCTCTTAGACCCCATCCCAACTAGGCTACTTAAGGAGGTCTTTCCTTTAGTTAACACTTATATATTAGATATGATCAATATATCCTTATTAACAGGCTATGTACCACAGTCTTTTAAGGTAGCTGTAATTAAACCTCTCCTAAAAAAGCCCACCCTGGATCCAGAGGTGTTAGCCAACTATAGACCAATATCTAATCTTCCCTTTATGTCAAAGATCCTTGAGAAAGTAGTCGCAGACCAGCTGTGTGATTTTCTCCATGATAATAATTTATTTGAGGAATTTCAGTCAGGATTTAGAGTGCATCATAGCACTGAGACAGCTCTAGTTAAAATTACAAATGACCTTCTGATTGCTTCAGACAAAGGACTCGTCTCTGTACTTGTTTTATTAGATCTTAGTGCGGCGTTTGACACAATTGACCATCAAATTCTACTGCAGAGACTGGATCACTTAATTGGCCTAAAAGGTTCAGCACTAAGCTGGTTTAAATCTTATTTATCTGATCGTTTTCAATTTGTTGACGTTCGTAATGAATCATCCTTACGTACCAAAGTTTGTTTTGGAGTTCCGCAAGGTTCTGTGCTCGGACCAATCCTATTTACTCTATATATGCTTCCTTTAGGTAACATCATTAGAAATCACTCTATAAATTTCCATTGTTATGCGGATGATACACAGTTGTATTTATCGATGAAGCCAGAAGAAAGTAATCAATTAACTAAACTCCATAACTGCCTTAAAGACATAAAAAATTGGATGAGCACCAATTTCCTGATGTTAAATTCAGACAAAACTGAAGTTATTGTTCTTGGCCCCAAACAACTCAGAGACTCTTTATCTGATGACATAGTTTCTCCAGATGGCATTGCTCTGGCCTCTAGCACTACCGTAAGAAACCTCGGAGTAATATTTGATCAAGATTTGTCTTTTAATTCTCATTTAAAGCAAACCTCACGGACTGCATTTTTTCATCTGCGTAATATTGCGAAAATTAGGCCTATCCTGACCCGAAAAGATGCAGAAAAATTGGTCCACGCTTTTGTTACCTCAAGGCTGGATTACTGTAACTCTCTATTATCAGGTAGCTCTAGTAAGTCCTTAAAAACTCTCCAGCTAATTCAGAATGCAGCAGCTCGTGTACTAACAGGAACTAAGAAACGAGATCATATTTCTCCTGTTTTAGCTTCTCTGCACTGGCTCCCTGTAAAATCCAGAATTGAATTTAAAATCCTACTGTTAACTTATAAAGCTCTAAATGGTCAAGCTCCGTCATATCTTAGAGAGCTCATAGTGCCATATTGTCCCACCAGAACACTGCGCTCTGAGAACGCAGGGTTACTCGTGGTCCCTAAAGTCTCCAAAAGCAGATCAGGAGCCAGAGCCTTCAGCTATCAGGCTCCTCTCCTGTGGAATCATCTTCCTGTTACGGTCCGGGAGGCAGACACCGTCTCCACATTTAAGACTAGACTTAAGACTTTCCTCTTTGATAAAGCTTATAGTTAGGGCTGGCTCAGGCTTGCCCTGTACCAGCCCCTAGTTAGGCTGACTTAGGCCTAGTCTGCCGGAGGACCCCCCCATAATACACCGGGCCCTCTCTCTCTCTCTCTCTCTCACTCTCATCCTATTACTGCATCTTGCTAACTCGGCCATTCTGGATGTCACTAACTCGGCTTCTTCTCCGGAGCCTTTGTGCTCCACTGTCTCTCAGAATAACTCATACCGCAGCGGTGCCTGGACAGTGTGACGTGTGTGGTTGTGCTGCTGCCGTGGTCCTGCCAGATGCCTCCTGCTGCTGCTGCCATCATTAGTCATTAGTCATACTTCTACTGTTATTATACACATATGACTATTGTCACACAAGTATACTGTCTGATATTAATACATACTTTCAACATATTGTACCACAGTAGCCAGAACTATAACTATAATATTATTACTTTCATTAATGTTGTTGTAAGCTACTGTCATTACCTGTCTCTCTCTCTCTGTCTCTCTCTGTCTCTCTCTGTCTCATTGTGTCATATGGATTACTGTTAATTTATTATGCTGATCTGTTCTGTACGACATCTATTGCACGTCTGTCCGTCCTGGAAGAGGGATCCCTCCTCAGTTGCTCTTCCTGAGGTTTCTACCGTTTTTTTTCCCCGGTAAAGGGTTTTTTTTTTGGGGAGTTTTTCCTTATCCGCTGTGAGGGTCTTAAGGACAGAGGGATGTCGTATGCTGTAAAGCCCTGTGAGGCAAATTGTGATTTGTGATATTGGGCTTTATAAATAAAATTGAATTGAATTGAATTGAATACACTTTGGCGACTAGGCAGTTGCTTATGTCCCCTATAAGAAGATGTCCACGGTGTGTCAACACCGTGGACATGTGTTGATATTGACAATATATATCAATATCGTGATATGAGGCTAAATATCGTCTTGGATTTTGGATAATTTAATATTGTAAGTGTAGTCTTTTCTTGGTTTTAAAGGCTGTATTACAGTAAAGTGATGTCATTTTCTGAACTTACTAGACTGTTCTGGCTGTTCTGTTATTTTCCTTTACCCACGTAGCCATTGTATCCTCATTACTTATATGTATTTATCAAAAATCTCATTGTGACATTGTGAATTGATACTGAGTCAGCGTCTCAGTATCAATATCGAGGTATTTGGTCAAAAAATCATGATGTTCAACCATCAGCCAAGTGTTTGTGGTCTTTATGCTCTGTGGCTGTTTCAGTGTGCAGCTGTGACATAACTTAAAGGTTTTATTTTAATCCTCAGCTGACTGTTTTTTCTGTCTTCCAGGGGTCTGGTATTCAACGCTGAGGGCAAAAGGTGGAATAAAAAAACAAGCAGCTGGAATGTGGTCCACTGGGAGCTCGCGAGTACGGCTCTTGGGTTGTTATTTCTTCGACCGAGGCGGGTCAACGAACTGGAGAAAATCCAAGTGGAGAGAGCATCCAATCACAGACACATGAATTTTGAGACGGAGGGAGAGAAGGCAGCTTTTTTCTTTTTGTTTCACAGTGTTACATGTTTAACACCAGCAGGGTCTAATGCACATAGAGAGAACGCAGGGAAGGGAATTAAACAAGAAGAGAGGCTGGTTTGCGCTGCCGTTACACCGGCCGGCCTCTATCCTTCTGTCCTTTTAGTAGCACTAATCCCTCCTCAAATCCCCTGCAGGCGAGTGCCATAAAAAGCCAGAGATGGGTCCTTCTTGGGAGATGACTGCCAGGATCCAGGGTGGCAGTGACAGTCCGCGCTCACCTGCGTGGCTTTATCCGTCCTGCCTGCGACTAAGAGTGGCAGTAATCTTGAGCATTACTGATACTTAACTGTAGTAGGCTCACTAACAATGTCGATGTAGAGCTTTGAAAGAAGAAACTACAGTATTTTCTGGAAAGGAGGCCTGACTGAGGAACTATTGTTCCACCCCCGGCCCCTCAGGAATCCAGACAGCTGCAGCGCCCCACTGACAAAACACTCACAAGGGTGTGAAATTTTCTAATATCCCACGGACACGTCTTGGAGAGCTGCCTCTGTCCTCCGCCAATGAACTTCTTTTTAGCAGCTTTTCACAAACACGACAGACGGTACTGATTCATTTTGTGTATTCTTACTGTTTCTAGTTTTTGTCTAATATACTGTAAAATGCTGTGACATCCCTCCGGCTAAGGATGTGTGTAGGAGGGGTAGAAGGTCGACCAGCATCCACGTGTTCAACTTTAGAAGTTGGTTCTGTAATAACTGTTCTGGGTGGAATACCTGAAGAAGTTCTCTTGTCAAAGAAGGAAATAACTTTAAGATTATTTAAACTGACCTCAATAAAGAGCTAGTAAAGACTAGAGAAGAGTCTCCAGAGGAAAATGAGTGTGATTGCTATGAAGTTTGCATACTGGCCAAGATATAACGACAATAGCACCTATGGGGATTGAATTCAAATATTAATAACTCAGAGCGTAAAGTACATCAACTTGTAAAATTCATATTAGGTTTAATGCTGAGAGAAAAAGCACGAAAGAAGTACGCAGGTCAATGTGAGTGCATTTGCAGTCTAACTTAATAGTGCGTGTCAGTTAAAGGAACACTTCACCCCCAAAATGATTATTTGTATATCAGTTACTCACCCCGTGTTGTGTTGAATTTGCAAAGAAAGCTTTGTTTTTCTCACATGCCTCCACGGTGATTAAAGAATTCAAAAACAAAAAAAATATCTTTATGAACTGAAGTCATTGGGGTCCATGGTTAACAACAGCAAAACTATATCAAAACATCTGTTTACAAACTCTCACACAGCTTGTGCAGTGTAATCCAAGTCTCAGTTATCCAGTCATATGCTCTGTACTTCCAAGACTGGGAAACAGACAGCCGTTTCCGATAGGGGGGCTAAACTAAAAGTGAAATGTATCTATGCTCTCTTCAATGCCAGACTCCACTGACAAAAACAGTAATTTTACCTCGCTGAACACAGGAGCTGCTGGTGTTCCATTGCCTTGATCAGTTTGTGTGTTTGTGTTATTGTGTGACTTCGGTGAATCCGAACTAACCCTTTAAAACACCAAAGTCACACAATAACACAAACAAGTTAACTGAGTGAGGCAGCGGTACACCAGCAGCTTCTGTGTTAAGTGTGGTTAAATTTCTGTTTTTGTCAATGGAGTCTGGCTTTAAAGAGAGAGTAGATACGTTTCACTTTCAGTTGAGTTCCCCATCAGAAAGCGCTATCTGTTGGGGAAGCACTGAGCATACGACAAGATGAATGATACTTGGATTATACTGCACGAGCTGTGTGAGAGTTGTAAACTACTCGGACCCCTATGGCTTCAATTCATTTTCAATTTTCTCAATTTTCGGATTCTTTGTTCACCGTGGAGGCATGCAAGCAAAACAAAGTTAAAACAAATATAACATTTACCTGCACAACATCTCAGTTTGACGAATCAATCATTGGTACCATTAAAAGTGGACAGTAGGAACACATATGCAGTGCATGTCACATAAAGGTACTCTGTCGTTAAACATCCTTAATTGATACATGGATAAACCAGCGGGTTTCGAGTAGTCTTCATCAGTCTCCATGATATACCCTGATGAAGACTCTCTAGTTGAAACAAGGTGGTTTATCCATGTTTCAATAAAGGATTTTAAACTACACTTTCTTTTAACTTTGTTTGACGCCTCCTCTTAGACCACAATTAACACAACTTGGTGGCTCATAATTTGACGACTTTTATTAACATGTTGACATGCAAACCATGGTAGGTAGAACCAGGCAGCCAGTTGCTACTAGAAACAACAGGTGCACATATTAACAATTGAGCTACATCTCATATTTCTCAGGTACAGAGAGCATGTAAATATAGCCAGCAAGACAACTGACAGCACAACAGTCTGGAGGATAGAGTGCACATGAAGGTTATATAAGAGCCCTGCGAGTGTCCTCTGCTTGAGGTAAAGTGCCAAACTCGGCTCGTTTGTTTTGCCTGCAGCCACCAGTTAAGTCGTCCAAGGTGTTGCTGTCCATAAAGTGCTCCCACGTCTCAGAGAATAACTGTCTAGACAGTTTGTCCTAGACGTGGTGACGAATGAAATCTCGGTCTGTCTTTTTCTGCACTGATGTTAGTAGATAAAGCCGGAATTATGAGGACAGTCTCAACAGGTTTGATCAGAAGTCACAGTTTGTCTTCAGAGACAACATGATATCAGCTGTAAGTTATACTGTATGTAAAGGTGTAGCATGATGCTGTATGACCTTTGTATATCACAGACGAGATGGTGTAAGCGTCAAGTATAACAGAACAAAGTGGCGAGTATTTTTTTCAATGCCCTAGATACAGAAAAACTTCGCTATCATCAGAGTGTGAGAGGAGATGTTGGACACAGAGCACAGCTCCACATTACTTCTCTCACTCCTGCTAGAATTTAAATCACCCTCACTGCATACAGCTTGGCAACAGCTTACATAACTAGATTCATTTCCTCTTCGGAGGTCCCCAACGAGCCATAAAACTTGTGTGAGTCTTCTCCCCTTACACAATCGCGCCTTTCACACCTGCCCTCGTGTACTCATACATAAATGCAGCAGGCCCTGTGTGCAGTTGAAGGAGAAAACACAAAAAGGCGACACGTGCTGTGTGGTGAATTTAAAACGGGGGGGGAGCGGTTCGGATGTCTAGACGCGGTGGTGAACGGGAACACAAAATGTGTTGAGCTCCGGAAAAATAAAACAACAGACAAAACCTCCTGCTATTTTTGGAGCGAGTTGTTGGTTCAAACGGCTCCTCCACCGGCTCTGTAAACCCAGATATGTCTCCTTATTTACATTTATGGGATAAGAGCTGAAAAACATCTCCAGAGGAGGGAAGTACATCCAAATATTTCCCCTCCTAATCCTGCTGTGTGGGAGGAATCCCCAAATGTTCACTACAAACAGTGTAGAAATGTGATTAGAAGGTCGCCAAAGAGTAATTGATGCAGTATAAATAATTAATAGTTCATGTAGAGTGATGCAAATCAACCAGAAGGAAACAGTTAGGTTCAGTACACTGTTGTGGAAAATGTCACGGTCCCATATCGAGGATTTGCACGTCGCAGACGAGTCAGTTATCTCATTAAAAACTGCTCTGAGTCGCTGCGAGGAACTGGGCCACAGGTGAGATGATGTCATACTGTAAGCTGCAATATATGTCACACCTGCTGTGAACATAAGACTATTTGACGCTGAGACACCATGCAGGAATATGGTACTAAAAAAAACATCATTTTTTCAATAAGAGAACAACATGTGTTCCCATTTCTTGTTGGGTAAATGTGTGGTCAGGTTTCTTGTCATCAGAGCTTAGGGAAGTCTCTATATTACCATTATTTATGTGCAGTGACTGCCGTAAATGTGAAGGTCAAGTTTTGTAGCTGCACAATGAGCTGCAGCAGTTCAACATTTTGGGAAAGGCTTACTGGCAGAGAGTTACATGAGAAGGTGAATGTCACCTTCATGCCTGTACGGTAAATGTAAAGCTACAGCCAGCAGCTGATTAACTTAGCTTAGCTTAGCATAAAGGGTGGAGACAGGAAGCAACAGCGAGCCTGGTTTAGTTCCAATGTAATAAACTTCAGCTGACAGGGTTTCAACAAATAAATTTAAGACTTTTACAGACATTTTTTAAGACCAATGCAAACTCAGACCTATTTCATGTCCATACTGGCATAAAGAAGGACACGAGGGAAAAAAGTTAAGACACAATTATAACTTACTACTTCTAGAAGTAGCTTTATGGGAGGACATGCTACCTAATAAATTCTGACCAAGCTGCACAGTTTGCATTCGTGGCTGTCGGCTCCATGTTGGTTTTGTTTTGTAGTTGTGTTACATTGTGATCAATACAAATTGTTTCACAAAAGTTAACACAGCTTTATAAAAGCAACATGAACTTTACGATGCAATCAATTTTTAAGACCTGTCAAAATCATACTAAGAACATTTTAAGGACTAAAATTTAAATGATTGGATTTTTGACTTTTATGAGGACCTGCAAAAAACCTGATCTAATGGTATCTTAAATAGTCCAGCCAATAACTACCTGAAAAAAAGTTTTTTATACTTAGGTTTTCGCACAAATTTAAAGTGGGAACAGACAAGTTGCTGATTTTTTTTTTCTTTAACTTATCACTATGAAGTAAATGTTGATTGTGCAATGTAATGGCTATAGAATAATGACACCATTCGTTCCCTAAAAGTCTCACTTTCATTATGCCGATCTGCCAACAGGTAAGATCTCCCTGAAAATGAAGGCTCCATTTATGGCACAAATGACATACGTTAACCATTGTGCAACCAAAACAGGAAAAGGAGAGCACTTTCATTTTCCTCAGTAGCTATCGGTAGCTATCTCCAATTATTTACTAGTATTACTGTAAGTTCTTTGCAGTAACTGTCCCCAGTAGTGGAGTGGTAGATGGTGAAACAACCAAAGTAACTGTGATGGCAGCTCTGAGGTAAACAAGAGTGATCCAATTATCTTTGAAACAACGGCACCAACAATGATACCACTTGGAAACACTAAGGGGGAAAAGTTGTCTGTTTCTACTTTAAAAAAGGATCAATATAATATTTAATATAGCTCGTTTTATAGGCTCTGGTGGAATTAAGCTAAGCTAAGCTAAGCTAAGCTAAATAATTGTTAGCTGTAGCTTCATATTTAACAGACAGATATGAGAAAGAAACTTCCCCAAAATCAAGTGTCTTTGAATTGTATTTTCCAAAATGTGAAACTATTGCTTTCACATAATTATAATCAAAAGACATTTAAAAGCATAGCATCATGATTTGCATCTGATTTTTTTTTTTTTTGAAAATAAAAAAGTAAGCTGAGAAGTGTGACCTTAATCTTTAAAAAAAGAGGCTTCAAACAGGAACAGGACAACACAAATTAGGAATCTATGTCTATTAAAAAGTTAAAAAAATATCACGTTAACCGATGAACTAAGGTTTAAGAATGATTTGTGAGACATTTATTCTGCAAATTATCTAATCAATGACCTGTTTACTGATGATTTATGAGAACAGCTCACATCATCATCTTGTTTAAGTGTTAACAATTTCAACACTTGCACATGAGGTTGATACTCAGGGTAAACAGCACAGTGAGTTTATATGCGAGCATTTCCTTTTTTTAATCTCTGATGGTCAGCGTTTGGTATCAGTGGCTGTTCCCCTTTATTTGGCATTTGAAGTTTGAACACTTTAAGTTTAAAAATCTAATTAATGATGGAGTTTGAAGACGTACTTTGCAACCTTTAAATGTTTTTGGATTTTGGACAAAGCAAATATTTCTTTGGGCTCTGGTAAATTGGGATTTATCATTCGTTACGATCATCTGACATTTTATAGACTATGACTCATCAATTAATCCAGAAAATCATCAACAGATTACTTGATAATGAAAATTATTTTTAGTTGCAGCCCATCATAAAAGGATGCATCCAATTAGGTCCATAAATAACAGTTATTCTTGTTATCAATCAATCGTTTTGTGAATAAAATATCAGAAGACAGTCACAGCTCAAGGAGTAGTCTTGAAATGGTTTGTTTTATCCTACGGACAGTCCAAACCTCCACATCTATTCAGTTAAATATCATGTTAAACAAAGAAAATGAGCAAATTGTCACATTTAAGAGGCATGAAACCAGAAAATATTTGGCTTTTTTTGCTTAAAAAAAAGACTAAAATGATTATTTGATGGGTCAAAATAGTTGCTAATTAATTTTCTGTTCATCACCTTATCACTTAATCGACTAATCGTTGCAGCTCTACATCTGATCATTTAATTCTTTTTAAAATAAGTATATAATATAAAATTTTTGCAAAGGGTTACAAACTACGATGAAGGCCTAGGATGGGTAGCACAAAACACCTCAAGTTTTCTCCTTAAGGCTTACTTTCTCTTTAACTGAGGGGCTTACACAGTTGCACAGAATCCCTTAAAAGGTTTCCTTAGGAAAAACATTAACTCATTTATTGCATTGAAGGAGATTTAATAGCAGTAAGGTTTCTGTGGAGATTATCTGTTTGCTTGGGCTTTTGACACCTGTTTTCGTCTCACAAAGTTGGCCAATGGTGAAAAGTGGCAGAAGAAAATAACGATATTGGTCAGAGGAGGAAAAGATTAAACTTCTGGAGGGATACAATCATAGAAAGCACAAACTACTAAGTAAATTTGATCCCAACTACTAGACAATTGTAGGAAGAAATTGCAACAAAAATGAATTCAGTCAAATCTAAGGTCTAAAATCAAAAGCATATCCATTGGGTTCTCCTAGTGTGTTCGTTTTTTTCACTTATCACCACAAACTCGATGGTGTTGCAGTGAAGATAGAGACAGAGGTACCTTAAGGGTTTTTTTTAGCTTGCTTTGGTTGCTAAGGTCTTTAGTAATGCCTTCAGTATAAGAGCTAGACATGGAGAAAAGCATAAATACATAAGTAAACATTTAAAGGAAACCTTAAGGAAAAGACTTAAGGGTGTTTTGTGCAACTGGCCTCTTCTCTTTATTTTATAGTGTTGAAATTGCTCCATGACCATATTACAGTGCACAGCTCATATTATTTTACGTTGTGGGAAATCAGCTTTATCTCATAAGAAACAATATAATCAGCATCAAAATCCTTCGGTTCCTCATTCATGGGATAGTTATGAAAAGCAGCCCTGTACACAGAAAAAAGATCCAGTTCAGAGACAAGATACACAGATTCGTAACAGTCATGGGACGTAATGCACTGAAAGAAGCGGTCCCACTTGAGAGGAACAAAGCTCTGTATTGTTGCTATTTACATGCTCACATTCTCCGCCCCTGTTACTTCACCCATGAGAGGCTGCGGCGGCTGAGTGGGTCACACACTCACTGTCCCTCTCTGAGCTCCTCACATGCCACAGTCTCCTCCACACACAGATGCTTTTGTGTGAAACAAAGGGACATCATCATCACAGACATACCAAACACTGGCCTATTAGCAGCTTCAGATGAATGGTACAAATATACCACAGAACTCTTGTCTGATCTATAAACTATTACAGTTTGGTTAGTGTAGCGTCATCTCAGCAACTAGATGGGTGTGATTGCGAAGAAGCCACTTTTCTCAGTGTTCACTGATGCACTCTGAATCTGGTCAGATCACATGATGAGAGAGGGCTGCCAGGCAATTTTTCATTTCTTCTTCTTGTTTTCCACTCCAGCTGAACACAGTGTCACATGTTCAAAAGTGCAGATTGAATCTCGCATGATGATTTTTTTTTGTCCTCTCATCCTGCATAAAGATTTCCCTCCTGTTTATGCAGAGGAAACAATCAGCACGGAGAGCTGATTTCCTGACTGGAGGACACATGTCTCCTGGAGAATAAATTCCAGCTCTGTAATGAGGATGAAACACTCAGTGAGCTCTGCTCCCAGGCCTGGAGGGAGCTCAGAGCCTCCTCTTTTGTCTACTCCCACTTCTCTTCTCTGTCTTATCTCTGAAGGACTGGACGCTCTGCCCGCAGGAGAGCCGAGGGCGAGGCGGTCTGGGGGGGGTCAGGGCGGGGAGGTTGGAGGTTGGAGGGTCAGATGTGATCCTCGATGGGGAAAACCAGACGTGTGCCGCGGCTCAGCAGCTCCTGCTCGCGGGAGTCCAGTTCACGCTCCAGCGCCTCCTCGGAGGTGCTGCCGCTCCTTTTGCCATTCGCGCTCCAGCCTGACCCGCCGGCCGCATCCCCTCCACCACCTGAAGCCCCGTTGGCTGTGATGGCAGTGTCGCCGAACGTGAAGGTCAGGTCGCTGTCGTTACGGAGGACGTCAGAATCGTGGTCCCTCAGCTGCTCGTGGTTCTGAAAACACACCCACAGTGGAACATGAGGGGAGGGATGGAGAACATGAGGGTGACACACACACACACAGATGTAGGACACACAGAGTGGGTACATGTGGCGTGAACAGACTGATAAGGCTCATAAGGGACACTGTGGATTTACAGAAGGGAAGGGAGGAGACTTTCACTTAGTGGCCTGAGCTGCAGCAGCTGAACACAACAAAACAACAGGCTGCACAGTAACATACAAACCAGTGACCTGCTGCATCTACCGACAGCTGTCACAGCGACCTCAACTGTTAGATAAGTTAGACACCCAATTGAAAAGCACACGTTGCATGCTGGGTAAGTAATGAATAACTTTAAAGTTGTCACATGAGGTTCTCACAGCTCTAATTGACTGGCTGACAATCAATAGTCCACTCATGTCCTCGGGGACAACAGGATGAGTTAACATCGGGTCAGAGGGGATTACTCGGATGAAGGGATCAAAAAAGAAAAAAAGAAAAACATTACATAACCCTTCTCTTCAGCAATTATCTGGGAGGGAAATGGGGCAAAAAAACTCTAATAAATCCATCAGGCATTTTATGAAGTTAAAAAAAGAGAATGGCTACTTTCTAATTAAAACAGTGACACAACTGTCGCATGAAGACGACGTTTGGATTCATTATAAATTAAATTGTCAAATACTAATGTAATTAGAAATACCACTCTGCAGTTGTATGCCTCCACAAACCAGTCAAGTTACAGTTAACATCCATGTCTGTGAAAACATGAATGCTTCACACACATTTTCCCCGACAGCACAGAAGACCTCTACAATCAGCACAAGATTAGAGTCACCGAGTCAGTATCTGACCAAATGTCTTGCTTCTGTTCCTGAGATATGACGTTAAATAATGGCCAGGAAAGTGTTTTTGCAGAGCATTATGACGTCACAGTGAAGTTGACCTTTGACCTTTTGGATAGGAAATGTCATGATTTTATCCTGTTAGACATTTGTGTGAAATTTTGTCATAACTAACGAATGAATTCTTGAGTTATGGCCAAGACTTGTTTTGCCAGGCCACACTGAGCTTGACCTTTGACCACCAAATTCTCATAAATTCATTCTTGAGTCCAAGTGGACGTTTGTGCCAAATTTGAGGAAACTCCCCCAAGGCCTTCTTGAAATATCACGGTCACGAGAATAAAACAGATGCAAGGTCACAGTGACCTTGACCTACGACCACAAAAATTGAAAGGTGTAGTTTTTTTAACCTATTACACTAATTTATTGTGTATTATTATTTGCAAGTGTGAGGTTGAATGTTTGGAGGACGCGGTTTTAACTGAGGCATCTTACAGGAGGAGCACCCTAATTTCTGTGTATTTTTTTAATGATACAATGACAGTAACCGCTTATCCTGTTGGGGGTCACGGGTCGGCTGGAGCCTATCCCAGCTGACACTGGGTGAGAGGCAGGGTTCATCCTGGACATGTCACCAGACTATCACAGGACTGACACATAGAGACAGACAACCATTCACACTCACATTCACACCTACAGACAATTTAGAGTCACCAATTAACCTGCATGTCTTTGGACTGTGGGAGGAAGCTGGAGCACCTGGAGGAAACCCACGGTGACACAGGGAGAACATGCACACTCTGCACAAAAGGGCTCCCCCACATGTGGTCAGAAGACTAGAAAGGCGCGATACAAGTGCAGTCCATTCACCATTTAAAGTATTAACAGCTAAATGTACCGGAAGTATCTGAAATAAAGGTCCTCACTATGTAAAATGGCCCCTTTCAGACTGCTTCAAGGTATAATACCCAGGAAATGTCGACTACTATTTGTAAATAGTATCGCTAGCAGAAGTGAAAGTAGAAGCTAACCCCAGATTTGCTATATTTGCTTTTTTTGGCGCTGTGTCCACGACTTTCAGAGCTTCCTCCTGGATGTGAGCCATTTGTGGTCTGACATGTGGTTGCTACCTTTTATTAAAGTCCCGACCTCACCTGCCGCTGTGCACAGCAACGTCCTGAACATAGCAAAATAAGAAGAAAATAATAAAACACAGGCAGAGGGTAGAGTGTCTGCAGATAAACACACTGCCACACACTTCAAGTGGGTCGTAAGTGATGATTAGGAGGGATTAGATTTGTTTTTCTTTTTTTTTTTGACGGGACAGAGTTCAGTGTGAAAGGGGGAGAGAAAGGGGATGACATTCATTCCGCTGCAGCAAGGACAATGCCTTTGTACACGGGATGTCTGCTTTACCCACTGAGCCACTGGGATTAGATTCGTATGAGTCTAAACATTGTTTTTTTTTAGGAAAATCCTGCACAGTACACCTTTAAAGATTCAGTGGGAACTAATCGGCTCGGAGCGGTGTGTCACAGACAGTTGGAGAGTACTGAGAGACAGACTAATGCACTGTTGTTTTTGTCTTTTCATTGGATTTGTTGACAATATCCAGAATATAGAATATTGCCAGCCTAATCCTTCAAAAACAACTCAGGGAATTTAATTTCTTTACAGAGTTTTCAAAGCCTCAGGGCCTCTTGTTTGCAGTGCACAGTTAAACAGATCTGTTGAATTTAATTTAAATTATTAAATTAGTTTAGTGTCTATTCTCTAGAATCATATTTTAAATGTTACACAATTTGAGGTCAATAGGAACCAAAATTCTCCTGTTTGTGGAACATTTCATCCCCTCCCCATTTCGTAATATCCATAACCGAAGAGGAAACAGGCAAGGAGCTTTATTTAATCCTGTCTCTCCCCACTTGGCGTCACAGAGCCCTGGACGCTCCTGATTATATGAACAACCACCTCGCCTGGCAGGCAGCGAGCAAACCAACGGCAACAAACCCAGGGTAGAAAACATCTACTGCTGCAGAGCTTAAGACGGAACTAAACTTTCACAGTATTTAATTTAAATGACAGACGATGTATGTCTACTGTACAGTTAAAAAAAAAATGCTTTTCAGATTTTGTAACCCCGACAGTGACAGGCTCTTTGGGTTACTGTGAAAGGGGAGAAGAATAGCCGAAAGCCGTCACATGAAAGTATTGAAAATGAAAAGGGGAATTTGCCAGAGTGGATCCAAGTGTGACCGTCCCGTCAATGGGTGTTTCTGTGTTTAAAATATCAACGCACAGTGTCTTTCAGAAGAGCGGTCATCATTGAGGTGGCGCTGAAAAAGCCCTTTTGTGCCCTTTGAATGCAAAAAGGCTTCTCGACTGTCCATTTTCTCTCTTGCTGAAGGCCTCAGCGCTTTGTGTGTTTACTGGCAGGCAGTGAGAATACTTTGAGGGTATTACTGTTCTCCTGAGAGAAAAACCTTCAGTATTCAGAGGGAGCCTTCCTGAGGCACCAGGCTCAAGTCTGAACATAGAAAAGGAAAAACACGTTGTAGTGCCATCACACAATGCTCAGGTTATAGATAACTTCAAATAAAATCAAGCTTTTTCTTATTTCCACTGTTTAAAATACAAAATATTTCACCAACTCTTCCTTTAAATCCTCTGGACAACATGCAGTGAAGAGGTCTTCCACTATTTCTACACTGTGAGCATGCATTTTTCACAGATCACTGCTCATGTAGGAGTGTCACTGTGTATTTGCCATGTGCATACTGTTTCTTTTAGTGCATGTGGACACTCACCTCGTACGCCTGGGGGCTGGTCAGACAGCTCGCTAGCGGCCCACAGTATGCAGGCAGAGTGGAGGTGAGAGGTGGACCGCTGTGTGTCAGAATGGGCTTCAGGTAACTGAGCAGTTGTTAAGGAAAATGACCCAAAGAGCTCAACAATTATCAGTCACATTGAATGAGTTGATATAGCTTATATCACATATCTGCACCTCTTTCTAATATGGCACCCTTCATAAAGAATATAGAGGCTTTGATGAATCCCTTAAATAAAGATTGGTTAGTAGACACTAATAAGAGCAACTTTTGGGTTGCCAGGTTGTGAAAAAACATCCACAACCTAGCAACCCAAAAGTCTGCAGTTGTAAATGTTAATACCATAAAACTTCATTTAATAGTCTGGGTTATTATTTGCTTAAATCAGTGCCCTAAACAGGCCTATATTTGGGACAGGCCTCCTTTAATTCCTTTCACAAAAAAACTATTGCTCAGCAAAGATGGGAAATACAATCAAATTGTTTATATAAACCAGTATGAATATTACTTGTATAAAAATAAGGCTTCAAATAACACATGAATTAGAAATCATTCATTTGAACTGGCTCAGAGAGACAGAGCACAGGAGAGAGTTAAGACAATCATTTCACAGCATCCAGCACACCAACACAACACCACTTTATCCTGTTAAATTAAAACTCACTTGGATTAATTTTTCTGAAAAACACTTTTCCTTTGCTCGGTGGACCTTTACGGACTGAAAGAAAATTAATAACTTACCAAGTAATCGTGGAACGGACACATATTCTGACTTTACGACAGCTTCAGAGACAGGAAGTCACCACCTTTTATTTGTTCTCTCTAAATCTGAAGGAATTACAGTCTTCTTCAGTGCTCATGGTTATATCTGTGCACACAATCAAAGCAGCTAACTAACATTAGCTCAAGTGGGTGGCCAACAACCTGCTTTATACATCCATAGAACTTCTATAAAAATGAACTGCTTAGCAACCAGACCAGGCCTCTGATTCAGACAGGCGTTTATTTGTCAAAATGTGTAGCAACACCTGGGCTAGTAAAAGGGACTGGGCATTGTTAGTATGTATTTTTACATCTCCACTGACCAGTGGATACTTGGTCAAGACCCCTGGGGATCATTTTCCGTTATGACAGACGTCATGGCGTCAGAAGTGCGAGGCTTACTGATGAATGGACAAGTTAGACTAATTTTAGTTGGCCCAAGGTCAAGTTAAATGTGTCAAGGCACCATTTTAGGTAATAATATACATGACACCATCCTATATAAGCTGTGTCTCTCTCTGTTCACACTTATCACATAGCTTCTGCATGTAGCCACGTTGATCCGAGCTCGCAATTAAACGTGCATTAAGAAAGAACTCTGTGATCGGCCTCATCCTTGAATTCTCCAGATCATCACAGAAACACCTACTCTCAGGCGTTTAATGGGGACTAGGCTTTTAACTGAAGTTTTATGGTAAGTTGTGTCATAATGGAAGACAGATTTTTCACAACCTTGCAACCCAAACTTATTTAAAGGCTTAGAAATGAGCTATAAAGCATTAGTAAATGGATTACTACCAATTAAAGGGACAGCTTGGATTGTTTGAAGTGGGGCTGTATGAGGTACTTATTCATGCTAGGCATAATACCTGCAGTTTGGAGAAGCAGACAGGAGTAACGACACAGAAGCTAAGCACTATACTGCTTTCGACGGGGGCAGTAGTAAAACATATATTAGCCACCTAAAAAAATCAATAACAATCTCAGTGAAAGCTATATTTAGAATATTTTGACTGCTTTACTGTGCGGTTGGACAGTGATTTCTGCTGGGGAACTTAAGCCGTTCTATCGCTCTCTTCAAAGCCAGACTTAGTTAGTTTAGTTTAGTTAGTTTGGATTTACCAAAGTAAACACAAACAAACTAACCGATCGAGGCAGTGGTAGACCAGCATCTCTTGTGTTCAGCAAGTCTAGCGGCTTTGACCAAGAGCACAGATGGAAATGGCTTTAGTTGACAGCAAGGTAAAGTAATGAAAATATTCCAAATACTGCATAAACTTAAACTAATATTGTTTTTTTTAGGTGGTTAAAATACATTTTGCTGCTGCCTCCGTCCACAGCAGTATATGGATTAGCTTCCTTGGCAGCACTCCTGCCTGCCTATTGAAACTGGAAATGTCCAGACAGACATCTACAGTAGGTAATACACTGACTATGGATACAACCCCACTTCAAAAGGTCCTAACTATCTCTTTAAAAAGCCATTTGGTGCAGCTTATAGACCTTTAATATAGAAAGCTGTACCAAAATATCTGATAAAACACAGTCTGCAGAAGCTAATTCCAGCACCACAGTGTTTAAACTGGCAGTCGACTTTGATTAAAACAGACCTCGCAGTCAGTCAGTTCTCCTCCTGCGCCATAAAAACATTTCAAATGATGAATTGTGGTTTAATAATGTTGAGGATGTCTGCCAGCAGGATATATTTGGAGCTTAAATCTTTATGGGATTCTGTGAGCAGCTGAGGGTGAAATAATTCTGTGACGCTTGGCAGCAGCACAGCAGAGAGTGCTGAAATCAAACTCAGTTGTCTTAATCAGCAGTGCATTGCACAGTCCGCTACCCAGAAATGAAGTCACCCGGCTTCCTGCACCAAAGCCCTGTGTCACGTATGTTTACCTCAGCCTTTAAAAGAAAACTCCCCCTGCCTGCTTCAGCTGCATCTAGCACGTGTCACCAGGGAGAAAGTCTCCACAGTGCAACACAGCTGCTCTGCTCAAAAACAGGTACACAATCAGCCACCTGGGGAGGCAGTTCAGCAGAGAGTGAAGGAGGGAGGAAATGAGCTGCTAAACACATTAACTGGAGTCTGTTTTTACAGCCAGTCTGAGCTGAATATGTTATTTTGATCCGATATCCCAGGATGATACAGTACAGACACCAATTGTGACTGTGACTGTGATGGATTATACAGTGTACAGAGGGGAAACATTCCCCTTGACAAACAGCTGTACTAGTTCAAGCACTCAATTACCTGGTGGCCTCAAAGCAAGTCATGTACATATTTCCTGGGTATTATAGGGCACAGGAAGGATACTTGTGATCAAAGGTGTACCACAGTCTGAAGAGCCACGCACTCTCCTGTTTGGTTTTACTCTGTCCTTCAGCCTGGGAGCCATCCTGGAGAAACACATGGGAAAAAAACATGTTCTCATATTCAAGATTTGCTGCATAAAAAAATCTGAATCCCAGCACTTCCAAGTGACAACCTCCAGGTCTGAAAAATTATGTGAATGTGGTAATGAAAAAAGTGCTGTTCCTTGAATGGCCACTTGAGGCTGGCTTCAAAAGCAAGTCAATCCCATCGGACTGGTACGCTGAGCAGACAGCCTGACACTCAAAGCAGCCACGCTCTGTAAAGTTGGCCAATTTAAATGTGGGGGTCTGTGAGGACTGTCTCTCTTCTGGAGCCAGCCTCATGTGGCCATTCGAGGAACTGCAGTTTTTGACACTTAAGTGGTGGCTCTATTTTTTTAGCCGCAGAGGTTGCCACTTGGTCAGTTCCAATTATTCAGATTATTTCCCCAGGTCCAATCTTTCTGCCTAGACTGTTCATATTTATGTTTGAAGTGACCCAAATCTGACACCAGCTGGACAGATCTCTGCCCTGAAACGCCTCACATGTCACCAAGAACATTACATACATGCATGTTGGAACAACAACAACAAAAAATGTCACATTTGCTAAACGCACATTTGAGCAAGCTTCATCTCCCGAATGACCGGCATAGTAGGAAGGCCCGATGACATCATTCTGAATAATTATTAGCCATGTGCTTCTGTTTGGGAGAGTGCGTTGGAGCAGAGGCCGTTTATTTTCAGGATAACGGGCTGTCGCACAAACAGCCTTTCTGTCCACCAGCTCTATTAAAAGCTATTGTTGGTGGTGTTGTGGTGACAGAGGTGTGGGTGGTGTTGGCCGAGGATTCTGGAGTGGTGAGGCTGCGATGTGGAGGGTTTCACTGAGGAACAGCTCCTCTATAATATTAGGATGTGCAGGGCTACATTCCATTATCTCTGCGGGTGCCTCACAACAACAGTCACAGCATGAAGGTAGGACCACATATGAAAGTGGCCGAGGTCTTATTGGGAAAAAAAATGGACATCTGTGTCCACACCCTGAAAAATTAGATCTGCGTTCCATGAGAGAAAAAAATGGGATTTGGGAAACAGTTGCTTGTAATGTGAACGTAGCCAGACTCACGGACATAGGTTTCATGTTATGTGTTTCAGCATTGTCACAGGTGTTTCCACACGTCCACTATCATCAAACAAGTCAGTATTATGAGTGCAGCTAGACTACATGGATATGTGCATGTTTGGTTGGATTCCTGCTGATAACAAAAGAATACTGCGCACATTTATTTCATAGGAGGTGCAAAAGAGAGGGACGAGCAGGACACAACTTGCAGACAAACTCCCACAAACAGGCCAACAGTTTGCTTGATGAAGGTGTTACCGAAACGTTGCAATAATGTATTATTTTTCCAGGTAAGATAGTGTGCAGGAGTTTGTCTACAAGATGTGGCCTGGATTCTTGCTAATGAAAGTGCATGCTGTTAATATCGTGGTGATGACACAAGTATAAACTGTTTCTATCTGTGATTAAGGGTCCTTTTCAGCCCTCTAAACCGACTCAGAGCAGTGACTCAGCATTTTTTGTGCATATGTAAACACTCCAAGAGAACTAAAACCCAAGTCCTCGGTGCTGTTCACTTAACCTGTGCCTTATGAACACAAAGTGCTCCAGGTTCGCTTTGCTCTTTGCCGTTGTCTTCAGCCTTCTAGATCACGTTATTGCACTGTGACGCCTGAAAAAACAGATGAATCCACGTCCGCCTTTCGCGCTTGCAAAGACACAGGACGAGGAGTAGTTTGGTCCAGAGCTCTGTATGACTCTTTGTAAACTTGAGAGGGCAAAGACTGTTCATAGATTAATCTTTGTCGAAGTACTGTTACTTGTTAAGCCAATCGTGTTGTTGTTAGAGACACAGTTGTCACATAACGGTGAACTGTGACCTCTTAACAACTACTGCCTTGTTGTTACTCGCCTATTGAGTTTCACCCATCATAATTTAACCCTAAAGTTTATTGCCAGGAGGCTCTGTAGGGTAGAGCTGCCATTTTTGTTACCATCTTTTCCTCCTGTTTTTCATGTTTGGTTGGGGAGTTAGCTACAGGATTATACTTCCTTTTTTGGGGTTGTGTTTGTATTTAGGACTATTTTGTTTGTTATTTTGGCCTGGGCTCTCCCTGATGTTTTTGTATGCTACCATAAGGGTTAAACCACACTACCTGACTCCTCATTTCCCCATCTAACCTTATGTTGCTTCCCTCACCCCTGGACCACCATGGGCGATGAAACACACCCTCAAATACATTTCAGTGGTAAATGACAAATCCCCATCATACACACACACTATATTTCCTGGTTCCAGTGGATAACAGTCACAAACTTTTGGCTGACTTTTCTTTCATTTCTCATAAATCATAGTTACATCCACATATTTCATAATCACTCTCATAAAATGACTCATTTGTATCTGACAAACTGAACTATTTCTGTTTCATCAGAATTGCTGTCTTCAACATAAAATTGCAGAAGTGGAAGTGTTTCACAGTGAAAGCAGTGAGTTCAGAGTGTGATTCTCACCCCCTGAAGGACCTGGAAGCTGTCTCCGCAGGGCTGCTGGTCTTGATCTGGGTCCACACCAACCCTGGAGGACAAGAAGAAAAGCAGAAAGCGTGTGAAAATGCAATTTATCTTTTAATCACTTCACTGTTTCAACTGTGGCTCTTATTTGGTAGATGTTTGTCAGCAGTAGTTTTCGGCCCCTTATACTACATGTTGGTAATTCCCCTACATGTGACCTCTGCTCTTCTTCCTCATCTGACACGATTTTGTGGACACGTTCACACAGAAATGATCTTGTATCTGTTTGTGTCCACTGCACCTGCAGAGTACAGGTTTGTTTGTTCTTTTTGTGGCTCTGATTCGTGTCAGCAGCCGATTCTTTGAAAGCCCACACATCAAAGTGCTGATTGTTCAACCTTTTAGTGGTTGGAAAATGCTGCAAATGATCATTTTACAGAATGCACATAAAAACAGTGCAAAGCTAAAAAGATATTACACAGTATGTTAAATTCAGTGTGAGGCAGATGAGGGAGAGATGTGGGACAGATAATAACTCTTGTCTTGTGATCCAAAACACAAAACCACAACCTAAGAAACAAGCTAGATATTCACCGATAAGGGAAATCACCATCAAGACACCTCTGACCCAGAGAGACATCTCAGCATGCAAGAGCTCAAACAATGATCATGTGATTTAAAAAGTTACGTGTGACGAGACTTAACATAAAAACATGATGCTTTTTCATATTTCTCTCTTAAACTAGAACAGATTTAACCAATAAACTACATAACATAACTCAAAATGAACCCTTTTTGCCTCAATATAGCATTGACACATAGGCTGTTTTAACCCAGTGTTATTTTTGTAATTACTGTACTGACAAGCTGTTGTCTTGGGTTTGATTGTTGCTTGGTAACGGAACACGAACACATCTGAGCAAGGGCGAGTCATCAGTTCAAGGCACACAGAGGGTGTGGGGAGCATATGCATTGAAACAGACATATATTACTGATGTATGAATACTGAGAAACACCCCACACTGCCACATCCTCATGCGTGGTAAACACACACATACTGACATACACACTCTCACCATAACCCCTCTGATCCCACATTAAAGTTCACACTCATGAGGCCGAGTACATTTACTCATAAACATACAGATGAAACGACAGCGAACGACAAACATCCAGTCTATAATAAAAACACATCCTGCCACGAGTCTAATGTCATATTTATTATTTTCTCAAGTCAGCGCTCAGGAGATACAGATCTTCTACACACACAGACAGGCGGCATGTGCAGAGCCGTGCACGCACCCACACACTTGAGACTCAGTAAAATAAAGGGAGTCAGTGGGTGACAGTGATCAATATGGTTTGGCTTGTTTATGAGTTTTTTTGGAAAAAAAAAAAAAACACAGATGTGAAACAGGCTTTTACGCCCTAAAAATATTATATCAGACTCCAAAAGTTACCCAGGCCACAGGCCCCTACCGTCCCTCTGCACTTCTGCAGCCTGTGGTAATATCAACTAAGTATACGACAGCATCTGTGCTATATTAACTGTGTACCACATCTATACTAATTAAGGTAATAGTTTGTCATTTTGTGTCTTGCCGAGAGGTAAATGAAAAGATGGATCCCACTCTCATGTCTCTAAATATGAAGCTACTACTCTTATAATGTGACACAACCAAATTCTCACGAAACAGGGAGGTAGACCGAGGCAATACAATGAAGAGGATCGGCAGGAGGCAGTACGTCTAGTACAACCTACACTTGCAACATACTTGCGGAAATGCAACATAAAATATTACATAGGCTCCACATAGCTCCTGTTACCCACCACAGCATATCTCGAACTCTCTCTCCCATTTGCCGTAAGTGTAAAACAAACCTGGGGGCTGTTTTACACTACTTTTGGGAGTGCAATCTGATTGCTAGATACTGGGGTCACATAGCTCATGAGTTATGTGGGATCTTTAGGACCACAATAACAAAAGATCCAGGGATATTCCTACTGGGTCTGCCCTCAAAAGAAGAAGTAGCACTCTCCCATAATCATTACAGATTGCTGGATAATGCTGAAATGGATTTACCCCACCCACAGTGACGGTCTGGTGGGGAGATTTATAGTGTCTTACCTCATGAGAGAATAAGTGCTGTCCTCAGGGCTGATGAGAACTCATTTCTTAAGATGTGAAGCCCTTTCCTAAATTATTTACCAGCTACACATAAACAAACTTTGTAAAAAGGTCCAGACCCTTCTGAGAGGAAGCAAACTACGCCTACTGCCAAGTGAGATTTCCTAAATGCTGATTTTGTGATACTTTTGGGATCATCTTTTGTCATATGCTGTTACTAAGAGTCACAGAACAATGTACTTCACCTTCCGGGAGGATATAGGAGTTATTTGCCGTCCTGTTTCTTGGCCAGGTCCAGTCACTTCCTAGCTATTTCACTTCATTTCCATTCTTTGTGACAGTAGCGTCATTAGTTCCTTTAACATTACTGCAGCACACATATTCAGTCCTAATAGCTGGAAATAATCCCCCCCCGGTGTCTCTTACCAACAGAGAGGGATTAAACTCAACACAAGCAGATTTTAAAGGGGCACTTTTAATTCATATAAGCTGTGGAGCAGTTGAGTCTAATCCTGGTGGACAGAGGCCAAGGCAGAGATGTGTAGCCTTTCATGGTTATTTCTAAAACTACGCTGTACAGTAGGAGGTGTAACTCGTGTGCAGTGGTTATCTTTAGACTTTTCCATGACAGCCAAACAGAGGAAATATCCCCTCAGAGGGAACGAAGGGCAGCATTTTGGCTTGAGAAGGAGCAGGCCACAGGTATCACACTGCCTTTTAGGACGTTCTCCTCCCAAAACTACACACAAACACAGAGGATCGTCCGTGGGTGGAAGTTGCACGGAAGTCAAAGAACCTGCAAAACAAAGAGGTGCGAAGCCTGCCGGTGCTGCGTCAGGAAGTATGTGTGAGGAGTGGATCTCAGATTAAGACACGACTGCCGGGGGCCCCGACAAAGAGAAGCACGACCTTGCACACGTTTCCTCTGATAAGAAACAAGTAGAGCCGTCATACGTTTCACACATGCATACTTACGTAAGAGGGTTCCACTGACTTCAGCTCACCCACTAACCTTTAATCCTAATCCTGAAAATATTCCCTCCTCTCCTTAAACCCATCAAATATTCCTCATAAGCAACTTCATTTAGAGGGTTTCTGTCCTTTAGGGAAGACATGCAATCATAAACAGTCAAAATGGAGGAAGCATCGCCACACAGCTCTCGGTTTCTGTCTTATCTTCCTCTTTTGCATATACACTTTTCACATCAGTTCACACAGGTCTGTCATGCTGCTTCAGGGGAACGCAGCATGTGATTTGTTCTTTGCACCGCTGTGTGAAAAAGCTGGTGGACAGTATGCACAGATGCAACAAAGAGACAGACTCAGGTTTTCACATCTCCCAGAGAGAGCACTGAATAATCATCACGCCTCAGTAACTCCTCAAGCAGCAGCACCCTGCCAGAGCTGGGCTGCTGTGTGACGCAGTAACACCTCTGCTTTCCTAAAATATTGCCTCTTAAGAATCCAATCTATTTTATTTATTCTGACACTAACCATCCAATTCAGTCTGTGGAAAACATGTCATGTTTTTAAGAGTCAACTTTTCCCATGTCCCTTTATACCCCCTCCAACTCATCAGAAAAACAGAAGTAACCAGTGAAAAAAAAAGATTCCCATCCCAAACAACCACACCATGTCCCAACACCAGTTACCGCCCCGGAGTTTGCACACATTCACATACAGCACCTGAGGTACTCCAATTTTCCAAACTTGCGTCGTTCTTCCTGCAATGCATTGCTTTTCCCAGCGCTGTCACATGATAAACACATACACTTAGTATCAAGCATGTTAGATTTAAAAGCAACCTTGGACTCTATTTTCCGAGTTATGGAAACAACAAGTTTGAAACTGCTCCTGTTTTGAGTGAGAGTGCTGCAGCTGGGAGCCATGAAACAGGCTGCGATATAACCACTCACAGCATATGTGCGCCGTCAATTTACATCACCTGAAAGTCCTTCTTTTTGCCACTGACTGGCTCAGATTATTATTTTAAGTGTTTGACGACATTATCAAAAGGATCCCTACAGAGATAGACCTTTGTGTTTAAGATTAAGTTAAGCATATTTGTTTAACCAATTACAGCCCTGAAATCGCTATCGCAAAACTCTCCAGACTCCATTTAAATACACACTAATTTTATCATCGTAAAACTCACTCCATTAAAAGGTTTGTCTTTCCACTTTTCTGATAATCACCAACTTTGGTTTGGTTGAAATAAACCCTTAATTCACCAAGTTAGATGTGAAAATATGCTGCCTCTATACACACTTAAATTACAGTTTATTTCAATGGCGTCTGGTGAATTTAACAATAGCAATTTCGAAAAAGGACCTTACTCTTCAACAAAAAGGTTTATCTCTGTTGGGTCCCTTCCAGAATGTTGTCAAACACAACATTGAACAATCCGAGCCTGTCAGTGGCAAAAATAAGAACTTTTAGTGGGCGTAAACTGACGGAGCTGGATTGGTTTCATTGCAGCCTGTTTTGTGGCTGCAGGCTCTGGCTCCATACTGGACCAGTTTCAAAAACGGTTGTCTTCATTAATCACTCAGACACAAAAACCATGGGAGAAATACAGAAGTTACCCTTTAAAGTATTATGTGATATATTAAGCTATTCTTTTTTAGTGGGATTTGGCCTGTGTGTAAAAAAAATAGCCATCTAATGTATTAGATACTCATAAGAGGAACTGGAACAGTCACAATGCAAATCTCTGTCCTCTCACATTTGATCCTGACATTCGATACAGATAAGGATTATGTGGTATTTCTCGGAATCAAAGTTCCTCTTATGCGTGGAAATTTCAAACAATTTCACACATTAATTAAAAGCATTTCATTCAAATTGTTTGGAGGATCAAAAGCTACGCTGCCGTCAGTGTTAGTTTAATGATGAACCAGACATAAATGAGAGTGTAAGCAGATAACAGTGACCACTCAGTGTTTTCAAAACAGTAATTGGCAACAGTCTCTGCCAAATATGATGCTCTTTTCTGGGGACGTGCACTAATCCCCGGACTTGGCACAGAGGCTCAGCAGATGTTCAAATATAAAAAAAGAAAAACACTGGATGAAATAACTAGAACTCCTTAAATGACGATACAACTGCTTTCAGCACTTAAATGTTAATAATAGATCCAAAGCTTTCAGCTCTTATTGTCTATAAGACTTCATCTGCTATCACTGATAACACTTTAGTACTATCAGCTCAATTTATTACACTTTAACTCAGTTCCTTTCAGCATGTTTAATCACTTCACCTTCATTCAGTGCTTACACATAAATTAAAACTTCAACTTCCTACAGCACTTTCATTTAACTACCATTCCAACTTTTCACTGAAAGTATTTTGTGAGCCTCTTCAGCTTCTTTCAACATATTTCAGCACTTCTGTTTTATCTGCCATTCCAGCTTCTTTCAGTTTTTTGACTGCCGCTTCATTTTCATTCCGTATTTCAACTTTTTTTAAATACTTCCATTGTAGCTCTCACTCCTGTTTCTTTCACTGATTTCATTTTGTGAGCCACTTGAACCTCTGTAAGTATTGAAACAATTTTAGCACTTTTGTTTTATCTGCCATTCCAACGTCTTTCAGTCTTTTGACTGCCACTTCATTTTCTTTCCTTATTCCAACTTTTGGAGCACTTCCATTCCAACATCTTTCACTAAATGAATTTTAGGAGCCACTTCAGCTTCTTTCAGTATAAAATGTGTTTTAGTACTTTTGTTTTATCAGATATTCCAACTTCTTTCAGTCTTTTGATTGCCACTTAAGCTTTCACCTTCTTTTATCACTTCCGCTTTAATTCTCATACCAGTTTCTTCTTATAAACATATTTTGTAAGCCACTTCAGTTTCTTTTAGTATTTTTGCTTCTTTGAGCACTTATATTTTAACTGCCATGTGCCACTTCAGCTTCTTTCAGCATATTAAGCACTTCTGTTTTATCTAACATTCCAACTTCTTTCAGTCTCTCCACCACCATTTCAGCTTCTTTTAGTATTTCAACTTCTTTTAGCACTTCCATTTTAACTCTCACTCCAATTGTTTTTCACTGGTTGTATTTTGTGAGCTTCTTCAGTTTCTTTAAGCGTTTCAACTTCTTTGAGCACTTTCATTTTAACTGCCGAGAGCCACTTCAGCTTCTTTCAACATATTTCAGCACTTTCGTTTTATCTGTTATTTCAGTTTCTTTTAGTGTTTTGACCGCCACTTCATTTCCTTTCTGTATCTCAACTTTTTAGCACTTCCATTTAAAGTTCCACTCAGACTTCTTTCACTAAATGTATGTTGTAAACCACTTCAACTTCTTTCAGTAGTTAACACAATTCAGTTCTTCTGTTTTATCTAACATTCCAACTTCTTTCAGTCTTTCAACTGCCACTTCAGCTTCTTTCAGTAATATCAACTTCTTTTAGCACTTCCATTTTAACTCTCACTCCAGTTTTTTCACCAGTTGCCACTTCAGTTTCTTTCAGTATTTGAACTTTTAGCATTTTCATTTTGACTGCCATGAGCTACTTCAACTTCTTCTTTCTTTAGATATATTATAGCACTTTTGCTTATCTGCCATTTCAGCATCTTTCAGTCTTTTGACTGCCACTTCATTCACTCCTAAATGTATTTTTTTCAAGCCACTTCAGTCTATTTTAGTATTTAGCGCATTTCAGCACCTCTGTTTTATCTGATATCCCAAATTCTTTCAGTCTTTCGACTGCCACTTCAGCTTCTTTCAGTATTTCAACAACGTCAGGACTCACAATTTAACTCCCACTCTAATTTCTTTTACCAACTGCATTTTGTGAGCCACAGCTGTTTCAAATGTTTCAAATAATTTTCAGCTCCATGCACACTTCCATTTCCTTCATTTAAATTAGACCTTCTCTAGTTTATACAGTAAAGTTCGACCACAACCAAACCAGGCCAAGTTTTCCTCCAAATGTCTGTTAAAAAATTTAAATAAACTCAGCACTCTTTACTATAGATACTACAAATGCACATAAAACTTTCCGCATTAGAGTTGACAGATTTACTCTTAGCTCTTCCCTGACTCAGCATGAGCTCACTGGGATCTCTTCCTCTCTTGATAGCTGTACTCCCGGGACTCGGTGATAAGCTGCACGCCTGCCCATTCATAAACCATCCATCAAAACTCAATAACAGAAACCAGCAGCATCTTCTCTCACACCAGATGTTTGCTATCCCTGCACCTCCATCACATCCTGCTCCTCAGCCTCACACCTCATCAGACTGCTTCTGTCTGACTCATCAGCCAGATGATTGTGTCATAAAAACAATAACTGACACCTAACATATTTAATTTTCAGTGTTAGATACAGGGGGAAAACTACTACAACCTTTTTTTAACGGCCTGTGTAATGTGATGTCCTGCTTCTCCTCGGGGCTTTAAAGTGTCCCCCTTAAGGAGCAAAAATGTGTAAACGTCTGCACATATACAAAGGATGATACCAAGATATCCGCCTGCCATGCACTACATGTCCCAGTTACCATGGAGATGAGTTCATGGGGGAGATTTTGGCAGCGCTCTAAACCTCCACCTAACACAATAGTTCCTGCTCGCTACAAGGAGGCATTACTCATATTAAACAGAGCCTGTTCACTCAGGCCGCCTCTGCTGCTGTCACACACATCACCAGCCCATAATCCGCTTTATCATGACAAATGGAAGCTCCCAGTCCCAGTGCATCATGGTCAGACAAAAATAAGCGAGGCTGGGCTCAAAACAGACTGATAACCACGCAGTCCTACCGCTGATAACATCTCAAGCAGTTAGTGCTGTTGGCAGTCTGGTGATTAACGGCTATTTCAACTGTAGATTCAGCATCACCTCTGGCTCAGGAGCAGGGCTGCCACCTTAAATGGGAAAAGTAATGGAAACCTTGCCAGTGGCCCCGTGCCTGGGGAACACAAATCAAGCAGGGGTCCAGGGGCCTCACCCTATGAGATTAAATGTGTCGGACAATTCATTTCCTGCATTCTGTTGTTTTAAGCACCAATTTCAAAGTCGTCTGCTGCTCTCAACATGAATGTAAGGGAAACAAAGTGCCATAAGACTAAAGCACAGCTGCATCAATTATATTAAAGACTAAACTATTTTCGTATATTTAAAAGAAGCAAGAACCGATAAATAAACTCAAATAGCACTGTAAAATAAATCTAATTTTAACCTTCAGTCCAACACCTTTCAAGTAGGATGGGGCAGCCTACGCTTCGCACTTTTAATTTCCACCATGTGGGTTATTGGTTATTTATTTTTGACATTCCAAGCATGTGAAAAACTGAGATTAAGCATTAAAAAACGGAACAAATCATGTCCCTTACTGATTTAGTAAGGGTCAGTGCGTTTTATTTTCAAAACGCGACAATCACGTACTATACAGGACAGGTGGCAGCCCTGCTCAGGAATGATCTTAATTTTCAAAGTTGGTGTTGAATCTAAGGGTGAAGATCCTATTGTACGTGCTTGAGTAGAAAATGCAGATATGTCTTTAAAGATGCAACAAAAGCCCCCGTGACTTAAGCGCTCTGAGTGGAAGAACATAGGAGATTAAAAGTCAGCAGCAGTGGAGAACTCTGGCCCCATCTCCTGGACGATAACACCAGGCAGCACAAGATCAAATTTAATGAAGAGAAAATAATAATACGAGCACAGAGCAAACACACAGCTGCCATACAAAGACAGAGAGCAGTAACAAAACAGTTTTCAGGGTGGCCTGCAAACTCAATGGAGCGGAAGTGTAACTCAAGTAAATTACAAATACCTCACAACTGTACTTGTGAATGTACTTTCTACCACTGGGTAGCAACTTCTAGTTACTGCTCCAGAGTAAGTGCAGTTTTTAGCTCTGTTTTGAATGTATGCTGTTTCCAATTTTTCCCTCTACTTTCTATCCAGTCTTCATTTCAGTCTTTGTTAAACTTTTGGGGAAAATACGGAGGCATGGCTTTAACACAATCCATTTTATAAAAGCCAAGAAGGAACAGTTAGACAAAGGCAGCTCCTGAAAAACTACGCATGCTTTCAGTAAATCCATCAAGGTTAGATTTTAGTCAGTGTCTGTACTTTTTAAAACACTATGCCCTAATCTTTTTTTAGATAATGCAATGCCATTTTTTAAATATCTTTTTAAATCTTAAAAATCTCTCTCTTAAAATCTTTAAATCTTTTTAAAAACTAACTTTTAATTCAAAGTCAGGTTACAGCATTCGTTTTATGTCTGTTCTAATCCCTGGCATTCATTTTATTTTATTGACTTTTATTTAGTGATTTTTACCTTTTTTTGTTTGATTGTTTTATTGTTGTAGTTTTTAGTCTTTCAACATTTATTTAATAGTTGTTTTTTTTGCTACGTGAAGCACTTGGGGCTGCATGTTTGTATGACAGGTGATATTGAAGTTTATGTGAATATAAAATATATAAATTAAAAGTGTTCTTTGTTATCTTGGAAGGAAAACACATCTCCAATATCTAGGTTAGTCCTTGATCAATTACCATATTTATGTCACCATCTAAGAGGAAAAACAGTGGGTATATTTTTTAAAATTTGTTGGTCATTTTTATAAATGGAATTTTTTTAATAGTGGGGACTTGTATGTATATCCAAATGCAGAGGAGATGCAGATTTTCTTCTATGGCACAAAACAGTTACATTACCTGATGTGTAGCCAGGACAGCATGGGCGTCGTCCCACCGCCAAACACCCAGACAGTGAAGAAGACAATGAGCAGCGTGGTGGTGAACATCATCTGGCGGGCGTAGGTGGCCGTGTCCCGGATGGCCAAGGCGAACGCCATCGCCCCGCGCAGACCTGAAGCGGGTCACACCCAAAAATCATCCAGTCACATTAGAGCTGCAAAGATTGGTCAGTTATTGAGGGAATGACACGATGAGGGGAAAGACAATCTCCGTACCTGCAAACATCATCATGTGCTGGAAGTTTCCCTTGATCTTGTGTCTTCTGCCGAGGTTGAGAAGGAAGGACAGCGGGTAAATGTTGAAAGCTCTTCCGATGAATATGGCAATCTGACAGGCAGGTTAAGACTGAACAGTTAAATGCTGGAGAGATTCATGGAGCAGAATGTACATGTAAGTGAACTTCATAGTGAAGCAGGAAAATCTTTCTTAAAAATGATCTGATTATCTTTTTGTCCATGAATAGCACAAAACTCTGGTGTGTCTTCAGGGACATCACAGCAGTCTCCAAATCCTCAACTATGACCTGATTCTGCAGGTGTGGAAATATTTTTATTCTACAAGAGGGGTAATCCCAAATGGAAACAGACAAACACAAGCTTGTTGTTCCCCAAAAGGATACAAAAGCACCAATGATGAAAATGGGGCTGAAAATGTGATTCTGGAATGTGAACAGAGCCAAACCCATGTAGGAGAAGATGAAGTTCTCAGCCAGGAAGTGAAGGACCTCAAAAAGCTGCAAGGAAAATATTATATTCATGATGAATTCAGTTTCAAAACACGTAGATACACTGCAAGATTAAAACTAAATATCCACAGAAAAAGCCTTAAAACTGGGGGTAAGGGGTATTTCACAGAAGTTTTCTCGCACTGCAGTGCTTATAAAAACTTCTCTGGCTGGTTCCCTGAGCTAAGCACTGCATCTATTCCCTCAGAATCCAGAAAAGCTTTGGGAGTTGTTTTTCTTTCCTCTCCCAGGCTGACAGAGCGGCAGGCTGCCATGATTTCAGCACTGACTGCATTTATGTTGCTCTGAGCAGGAGGCACAGGATGAGGGAAATGCAAGAAGAGGAACTATCACCATTGTTGTTATCTAAGTGAAGCACTCTGACCCTCCCATTGTAATGTGCATGTGTAGCTTTCTTTGAATCGGCGTAACCTGCTAGCATACTTGGAACACTTATCCCAAAATGTTGTCTACGTGCTAATCTGCACCCTGTCCTTAAGACTGACCCCCCTCTGGGAAACTAAACAGTCGTGTCAGGAGGGATGTCCTCAGACAACCCCGATTAAGGTCACAGCAGGCTGATCGTGGAGCCATCTGGCACCGGGGCCCAGCACCCTGTTCGTGCTGTCACGGGGTTCAGAACAGTCCAAAATAAAATGGGGCTGTGTGTGCAGGAAGTGGTCAGATGCTACCTGCTTTGTGCGTTTTGTGGACTCCGCAGAGAGGTTGTTGTAGGTGTAGTGAGCCTGTGTGATGCCACAGAACAGCACGGACACAACGCCTGTGGGACAACAGACACAAACACACATTTAGGAGCCTTAATGCAAACTCAGAGTGCACTTTTCAGGGTGGGCTGTATAATGTGGATATGTAATCAACCCTGCACCCATTAAGAGACATCAGACGCAGAGATTAGCTTTTTCAGTCCTCTCGTTGCGTTGCTACTGTGCGTTATACTATCTGTTAATTTCATCTGCTGCACATCTGCTGCATAATCTGTATTTAAGTCCCTGTCACATTTCATTTGCATAACAGACAGATTGAGTTCTCTGAGGATGGTTTACCAGCACTTAGTTTAAACTGCTCATAATTACATTATTCAGCATCATCGACAGCGTGGAATTTAACAACTCTGTCGAGATCTAATGTGCGTGTGAATGATCGTCATGAACTCGAAAAGGTTGAAAAATATGTAATGGCTAAAGACTGTTTTGAAAGACCATGCTCTCTTGTAAAGGGGAACTCATAAAGTTGATAAAAAAAAAAGTGAAGATATGTTGGCCTCTGCTGCTTTAACTTGGACCACTCTTTCCTTACTCTATTTTAAGTCAACCAACTTTACATAAGGCAACACTAAATCACTGAGGTACCTCTTTAAATTTCTGTCACAGAGAAGTAAAATTACAAATCCAAAAGATGACAACATGTGAAAAAAATGATGGAATAGCTGAATTAAAGTAGTGCTGTTTGGTGTTTTTTTTAATTATCTTTTTTGGATGCTTGCATCTAAATACTAATAATAATAATATAATAATATCTATCACAAAGTGTTTTCCAAGGTGAAGAAAATACAAAAGTGATACTAATAAAACATAAGCATATACACTCAAACACATATGTACCTGTAAGCATAAACTCCAATACACACAATAAGTCTGTCAACTATGAACAGAGTCAGCTGATCTGATGTTCAGTGGGAGGCTGTTCCAAAGCCGAGGAGCAAGAACTGAAAAGGCTCAATCACCTTTTGTATTTAACCTGTACTCTGGAAGAGTTAGAAGACCCAGACTAGCAGACCTGAGGGGCCTGTTTGGACAGTACGGCCTGAGAAGCTCAGTTATGTACTCCGGTGCCAGATCGCTGAAAGCCTTGTATGTAATTAAAAGAAATTTAAAATGTATTCTAAAAGAGAGAAGGGAGGGAAGCCAAAATAGGTGTGATCTATGAGGATTGTTTTGTCTTGGTCAAAAGTCCAGCTGCTGAATTTTGAACAATTTAGAGCTTGATTGTTCAGGCAGGGGAACAAGGCATTACAGTAATCAAGGTGGGAGGACATAAGAGCAGTGACCTACATTTGGAGATATTTCTCAGCTGGCAAAAACAAGACTGGACTAAATTCTTCACCTGCTGCTTCAGGGTCAAATTACTTTCCAGAATAACACCCAGGTTTTTTTACACCTGATTTCATGTTCGCCTCTTCGAGGTCTTTAATCATTATCTAGAAGTGCTACATAAGTCAAACGCAACCAGACTTGCTTTAAACTGTAGAATTAAGAATCTAAAGCCAGTAGAGTTGTTTCTGACTTAGCATTTTTGGATATACCATGACGTGGACGACACAATCAACTGAACAGCCTCCATTTTCTAGTGTGTAGGAGAACCTAAGGTGGCCTTCAGGTTTTGTGGCACCAAATTCAAGCTGCCACTCCAGTGTCAAAATACAAAAGGCCCTCTCTGGAGACACTATTTACTTTGTCTGTCCTGGGCTACTGTAGAAACATGGCTGTGAAACATGTCATGCTCCGTGGAGAAATGGAGGGCCAATTTAGGCTGCTGAAAAAACAATTCTTAGTTTCAAGTGACTACACACTGATGGACACATAGTTATGAATATTACATTCCATTCAATAGATCCTTCTAAATCCCACACTGGTATTTATGTCAGATAGACGTCAGATAGAAGTCTGATACATGCAGACTTCCTCTAGCCTCCTGACCACAGTAGTCTAGTGCCTGCTTCCCACACTGAAACCACTTCCTTCGCAGCAGTGCCCGACACAGCTCACCTGTGAACCCGCAGGCTTCAGCCAGCAGGAAGGTGCTCCAGGACATGAGGAAGAAGAGGGCCGTCTCCAGCAGCGGGAAACAGTGCAGTTTAGTGAACTTGGTGACGTGGGGGTCGAGTTAAAGACACAACACTGTTTTGGATATTTACTAACCACAACAACTACACACCAACTGTTCCTACTGTTCATAAAAACTCAAATCAATCTGGACATTAGGGTTCCTGTTTCTAAGTTCACTTTAAAGTAGGTATCAGAGAAGGATATGAGAGCGGTGACGACTCCTGTGGCTGCACCCATCACAAAGGAGCCGCTGAAAATACCCAGGAAAACCCCCACGGACTTGAAAAAGGCTGAGGCGTCAAACATGTGTGTGTTTGCTCCAGTGGGCTGGTAAGCCACAATAGACCTGAAACACAAAAATAAATGAATAAATAAATAGGAAAATAATTACCCTGCCTATTATTTGTTTATTTATTTGCATTTTACAAAATGGACTAAAATAAGTGCTGATAAAAAATCTCTAGCAGCAGCTGATTTATAATTCTCCAGTAGAGGGAGGCATAGTGTCATCTGTCTGTGGAGAGGAGCAGTGATGCAAGGCGGCTCTGCTCTGTCTCACACTTCAGTGTTGAATTTCAACATCAGGAGGGAAAAGCAGCTCAAACCACACACACAGGGGGAAACATTTATCTGGTGGAGAAGGAAGGAAAGTGTCGAGTTTTGCAGACGCTGGTTCGATAAGGCAGAAATTCAACTTACGAGGAGAGCACAATGGCCACTGCGTCATTCATTACGCTTTCCCCAAACAGCAGAGCGTACAGATCCCCATCGGCATGGAGCTCATTAAAGATGGCCAACACTGTCACTACACACAGAGATGAAAGACAGAAAAGCATTCAGACATCATCTACTTTTACACATACAGCCATAAACTGCAACACATAACGCTGGCTGACTCTCAGCATGTGTCGTACCTGGGTCTGTGGCAGAGATTATTGCACCAAAAAAAAGGCAGTCGGTATAGTAGAACTTGTCAGTCAGCTGTCCAACCACTTGCATCAGTTTGACCACACCGTACATTAGATTCCTGAGGACGGATGTCCAGGAGAGAGGAAACAAAAAGGTACATTATGTCTGATCATTAAAGGGACAGTTCACCCCAAAGTCAAAAAATACCTATTTTTCCTCTAACCTGCAGTGCTATTAATCAGTCTAGACTGTTTTGGTGTGACTTGCTGAGTGTTGGAGATATAGGCTGGAGATGATGTAGGCACTGACGCTTCCATCTCTCTGTCAACTCTGCTAAATTTATGCTCTTGTTTGCGGTGCTTCTTCTGGTTGGCTTTGAGTCACGATTGGGATGAGGAAATTAACTCGTCAGTCTATAAACTCTCCTCCTGCTCCTTCTGCTAGCGAGCCAGGTTGAGGTTTTCAAATGTGAACATCAGTAAACATTGAGGAAAAGATGGAGAAGATGAAAGAAAACCCGGTTAGAAAACCCGGTCTTGCTGGATCACTGCTATAAACGGTGCAAAGTGGAGTTGCCTGTGTTGAGGAGTAGCGCCCATATGTTAAGATGTGTGGACAGTTAAATCATTCCACAACCAGAGACCATAGATTACCAGGACCATCCCGAAACACGGACAGTTATAAAGCAGCAGCCAATAATGTAAGATGCAAAAAGGACTAAATGACACATGTACATGTTAAAGGAGCTGATGGGATCATATTTTACTAGAGTTGTACCCTGTATGATGCCAAAAGGAAGGAAGGAAGGAAGGAGGCGTACATCTACTGCTAGCTCACCTAGCACTGCTGAGCTAGCTAAAGCCTCGTTTCCACCAAGCAGTCCAGTTCAGTTCAGTTCAGTTTGTCTCACATAAGTTATTTTAGCGTTTCCATTGTTAAAAGTGGTGGATAGGGGCGTCAGTAGCGTAGTGGATAGTGCCGGCACCCCATATGCAGAGGTGATGCCTCCAGCTCACAACCATTTGCTGCATGTCATCCCCCCACTCTCTCTCACTGCCCCATTTCACTCTCTCCTGTCAATTAAAAACGGCCTGAAAAAATAATCTTTGAAAAGTGGTGGATGGTACCGTTAGAACTGACCCGTTCTGTTTTTTCGTCATCCCTTGATTGAGGTACTTGGCACACCTGAGCTGATACAAAAAGGTGGAGCTGGAAACACTGCAGTCCTTTGATTGGTCTAGAGAAAATTGCCGCTCTTGTACAAACCCACTATTTTTAAATATCCTATCGACTGCAACAGAGACTGTAATTCTCTTCTCTAATTATTTCAGTGCGCTACCCCGTAGTACTGACGATCAGCAAGGCGCGGACGTTCCAACGTCTCCCTGTAAAGAGGACATACAGCCAGAGCTGGATGAATCTGGTAACAACTCTGCCTGCATTTAAGACTACAGTCTGTGGTGGAAACATTAAACAGATCAAGGGTTTAGGTACATATCCGTACAGGTTATGTACCAGTTCTAAGGGTGCTATACCAAAAGTGTTTGGTGGTTATGCAGTGAGATGTGACAGCTCAGCCAAGGAGGACGCCATTTATGTTTACATCTCGCGCTGTCACGAGCATGAGCCTCTTGTCCATGAGTTGATGCACGCTTCCTTCTGTGCGGTGATACGGTTGGCTGGCGTAGTTTAATACTTCCTATATGAAACTGCTCACAACAAGGTCTGTGGATTATCTTGAGTAACTGAATCATGACTTCTGGAAAGAGACTGCTGTCGAGTTTTTCAAATTCTTTTTTTGCTTTGAGCACCACAAGCCAAGTGCCATCTGGCTCCATTATATTGGAGAGAAGGCAGACATCTCTAAAGCCGATATCTCCAACACTCAGCAACTCACACCAAAACAAGTTATACTGACATATAGCTCTACAGGTGAGAGGGAAATTATGTATTTTTCATTTGGGGGTGAACTGTCCCTTTGAGTTCCTGATTCTAAACTGACATCTTATAAACAGAAGTTGGACACTGACCCAATGACAAAACATGAGATGGCAGTGCCAAGAAATGCGTAGGTTATAATGGAGCCCAGATTCCTGAAGAAGTGTCTCTGGAAAAGGAAAAAGGAGAAACAGATGAGGAGGTTAAAGAGGAAAAGGACATTTTATGTTCACGTTTTTAAAAAAATTAGCATTGCAAAAGTGTTAAACACTTAACTTATTTAACTTTGCTTTCACTAAACAAATGCCTTTTAACACAAAAAAATCAACAAAGGCTCCGGGTCAGTAACGGCTATGGGTGGGCGAGTGACTCCCTGTCAAACAAGACTAGAAACACAAACACAAATTCAGCTGTTTGACTGGTTATAAAACAAACAAGCAGCGCAACATAAACACATCTCCAGATCACTTCCATAGCCGAGTAGAAGTATCTAAGAAACAAAAATGCTGGTCCAGAATTCTCAAGGAAATGTGCCTTTTTTTCTCAGCGACTGTCAGGAATGATTTATGTAAAATAAAACACAAAAGAATCAAACAGAAAGGACGAAAGAATACTGTGCAGATTATGTTCAGGACGTACATGACAGCTCCTCTGTGGCAGCACAGTCGGACGGCACACAGATAATTATGCCAAAATTTGCACATCAGTTACAATACAGTTTGGCGGCAGTGATCTAAAGCAGACGATTAACTGAGGTGACAAGTTAACGACCAAAGAGGCACACAAACATTAGAGCCTCTGTCTGTCTCGTTGAGGTGAAAGCTGTTAACATTGTGTTTAAAATGAACTCCCACTGCAGCAGATGATTTAAGAAAACAGCCTTTTACGACCTGCTCCTTCCTGTTTCCTGAGGGACGGTTGTTTGACTCAGCAAATTCCATCTCAAATTACAATTTGACTAGGAAAACAAAAACAAGACGTTCAATACAGACTTGTGTAGGAGCTATAAACTGAGATACATTTTTAACAACCAGCTTGAGGCTTGTGCTCTAAGAAATTGAGATCTAACAGCTGGCACAGATTTAACAACGACATGCAGTTTATTTATGCTGAAACAATACATGGAGAGGTTGAGTATTTTAATTTTAACCTACAATTTTCGTGATTGATTAATCGTATATCAAGCAAAAATGTGATTGAAAATCTTTGGGTTTGGGAGTCTTGGTGGTCAAAACAAGCAATGTGACGTCACCTTGGGCACTGAGAATTTGTGATGGGCTTTTTTTTTAATTTATCGACTAATTGATTAATCTATAATGACACTAATAATTAGCTGCAGCCCTACAGTCAGCTACATACATATTGACAGGACTAAAGCTTGTCAAAAATCCATAATCACACTGGAAAAGCGACGAAACTACAAGCATAATCCAACCACTCAGTATGCAGACTAATTAAGCTCCATTTTTGGGTGTGCTGGTGGTGGACACAATTAACCCAGAATGAAATGCACACAGAAAATGGAGGAGCTGCTCAAAGCTGGGAAAAAGTGGGTTGTGATGAACCAGCTGGAAAGAGCTTGGAAAACAGAAAGTATTAAACATAAAGACAGAGAATAGGCTCATGCGAGATGAACTGCACCTCGGCGATAAAGTGGACAAGCTCAGGTGGCAGCAGCAGGTGGCGATGACAAAAAACTGCAGTCAAGTCGCACAGTTTCCAGCAGCCTGTTTAATACTTCTGTAGTTAAAACCTTTATTACTAGGCTATTATTATCAACCACTCCAGATGTGTTTGTTAAAAGTTAAATTTTCATTGCAAAAAAGCAAAACGTGGTGCAAAATGTGGTGTTTGCTGTCAAAGCCAGGCGTCTCCCATCATACCCTGGGTCTTGCAGCTGGCTCTAAAAACTGCCTCCACCTCGACCTCATGAGGTCATCATTGCCCACAGTTGTGTAACGTCAAAGTAGGTCAGGATCAAATCGGACACAAATCTTACCTGCAAGCTTTGTGTACCAATTGCCGGTGACTGACCTTCACATACACTGTATAAAATCAGTATGTCGTATAAACTGTAAAAAATATCTATGTATTGTGGATCTGGGACACAGACAAGTGTCTACAGTCCGGCATTGGCTCTGTGAGACTTTATATCTTTGAGCTAAATGCCTACTTTACCATGCTAACAAGCTAACAATGACAATGCTAACATGCTGAAGTTTTGCAGGTTTACCATGTTAGCTTCACATTTTCTAATTATCACTAAACACAAAGTACAGTTGAAGCTGATGGAAATGTAAGTTTTGTAGGTATTAAGTCATAAACAGGAATAAACAAGCCTGAATTTGCAATAGCTGCGACCGCGTATGTCCATGTATTTCGTTTTTTTGGACTGACCGACCAACCAACCGACAGAGCGAGCTAGCTTGTCGCGGCTAAAGATATGAGCAGATGGTGGCGCTAGATGAAAGGTCAGGAGATCCCCAAAGTGAATAGGATACATCCTCTGGGCACGATGAATGTCAGTAGACAGTCTCGTGACAATTCATTCAATAATTGCTGGGAAATTTGACACATAGCATAAGCAACACTGCAATCCCCAGGCCATGCCACTGGTTAGCATGGCTAAAAAAAACGTAATTAAAACTCAACCTCTTCACTGTAACCCAAGCTCAGATCCTTATAAGATGCTCTTCACTGTAGCAAAGCACAAGGGCACTCTCCTTAATCATCTGACCTCCTTGATATCATCCATCACTGTCTAATTGGATAAAGCTGAGGTTCGCCCTCACAATGAGAACATAGATCAGATGTCACCAGCTGTTTAAACACATTTCATTCTCCGTTATTTCATGATCGGGGCACTAAAGCACCTGTGCTGGGAATCTACAACACATAATTCATACATAGAAAGCACCACCTGCTGTAGTCGAATCCACATACTGTAAATATGTTGATGGATTAACAATGACAAGCACAGAGCCACCCTGAATACAACAAATCTGTTGCGCTACAACAATTGAAAGCAGAACCTGCTCATATTGTCAGTGTCAGCCGTTTTTATTTGTCGGTGCAATGCCAGAGAGGAAACGAAAGACATCTGCTCTGGACTTCCCCTCAAAAGGGCCACTTATGTTCAGTAAACACTGAGCGCTCTCAGTATGGCTAATGAAGGTTTTTCTTAGCTAACCGTCAGCCCAATGAGACAGCAGTTTGTGGCAGCAGATATGTCCACCTGGACCACACGACAATATCATCTCACGTTACTATTAATCATACAAATCCTGAGTTGTACATGGCACGCCTCACCTTCTTCAGACTGTACCCAGCATGGAAGATGATTGGAGGCAGCAATATGTTGAAGAATACTTCAGGGTCAAACGTCACCTGGAAAAGATGAGAAATTAAAAGAATTCATTAACAGTTCACTAAATCTGAAATGAGGATTTGATGCATCGTCCTGATCATTACCTTGCGCAGCATATCATTCTGCTCCACATTGTTAATCTCCCTGGAGTTGATCTCCCCTTTGAGGGTGTACTCAAAGAACTTGCCGCTGACATTAAGCAGCAGGGTGCTGACAGGTCCTTCCTTCAGCGAGCAGCTCGGGGGTGTCTTGTTGTGGTAGCTGGTGGCAGGGATGCCGTACCGCAGAATCACACCTACCAGCAAACCTGCAGAAATCAGTGGAGAAAACAATGACTGTGAGAAAATGTACTGCTTTAGACGTGTTTTCACAGGTGTAGCCTCGGCTGATAAAATGTGGAGCAAACAACCTGAAATAAATGCCACCAAAATCAATCTCATGTAGTCAGTTGCTCAGCACTGGATAATTCTGCAGGTGCTTCTGCTTTACAAGCCCCCAGGATCAGGCAGTGACATGCAGAGAGCAGCAGAGCAAAGGAAGAAAAATGGGGAGACGGTGAGCAGAAGCTTGTGGGGAGAGCTAAAGCCAGGAAGAAATGAATGAGGCAGGCAGTTAGAGAACATAAATCCTCTGATCAGACAGCAGTTATCTGCAGGAGGCATGGCAAAGCAAAGCTGCCAGCACTGTGCTCACTCTTTCTACCAGAGAGGGTTAACCTCGAACATCACACTCTGGCTTTGGCCTGACCACACACACACGTACAGACATACACACACACACGTATAGACATACACACACACACAGTGATAGTTCTGCAACAGAAATAGGGGGGACTTTCACTAATTGTTGAGACTCAAACCACCTGGTGTCTCAATTTCTTGCAAAACAGTTCACAAACTTTAGGTTCTTTCCAGCTCGTGGGAAGTTTCATGTTTTTGAAATAGGGAGTACTATAACAGGAAATTGAGCAGCACTTTTAAGTGACACCACAAACTCATATTAACGTGAATCATTGCTTTGATTGACACGATAACCAAAGTGAATGGAAACAGAATTTTCTGTGGAGTCTGCTCTTTACACAGCAAATCAATACTGGGACAAGGTTTCCACTTGGCAGCACTTTTATACTGGTTATAGTCCAAAATATAAAAAAAACAGTGTTGTCTGACACAATATGGTTTAAACTTTTTCATATCACACTGTATCCAACATAATAATATTTATCAAAGCATGGAGTTCAAGGTTTTCATTTTAAATGTTAAAGGAACAGTGTATAAGATTTGGTGGCATCGATTGGTGAGGATTGCAGATGCAATCAGCTCAAACTTCTACCAGTTAGGATTTCCTTTAGTGTTTTCTGTCCAGGAGGGTTTTACTGGGAGGTCTCTACCTCTCCAAAACAAACGGATCAGGTGATTTTTACCGGTAACAATATCGGACAAAGCAGTTTGACGTTACAAATCAGTGTTTCTCCGACACTGTTCGACTCGTTACAGACGCTCACCTGTTTTCTCTGATAACCTAAGATCCAAACGTTCAGGAGGTTTTTACGGGGAGCCGAATTATCCACAGAGGCCTCTTCCTCTCCAGAACAAATGGACCAGGTGATTTAAACTAGTAAAAACACTGAATAAGGCGGTTTCACGTTTAAAAAATCTGTGTTTTTCTGACACCACTCATCATGGAGGGCCTGCTAACTACGGTGGCCAGATACATGGCATCGTAGATACATGGCAATGCAACATAATCATCTGCGTAGACGAGGACCCTCTCCCTACGTAGATATAAGCAGCTCATTCTAAGGCAGGGGTAGCCAACCTGGCAATGTGGCTCTTTAGCCATTCTTCAATGGCTCCCTGTGGCTTTAACAGAAAAAAAAATCATATGGGAATGAATAATAGATTTTTTTTTAGCTTTTTAATTTTCATTTAACATTGTTGTACGCCTAAATAAATCACGCATCTGTGCACCAAATAAAAAAAAAAAAGTTTAAACATTTCGTCGACTAAAATATGCTTCAAACGTCTATGGCCTGATGTCTTTTTCTCCTAATTTTGGCAAACCTCAAGAGTAGTGGCTCTCTAGCTAGGCTAGCTATCCAGAAAAGTAAAGTTTCAGAGGAGAACAGAGAATTTGATAGTGTGTAGACCGCTTCATTTGCTTTTACTGCCAGCTCTGCAAAGTTAAAGACCCATATAATCATAAATCTAGTTTAATCATAAACTAGTAATGTTCATTGGCTAATTTAGACTTAATAGTCTGTTTCAAAATATGTTTTATGGCTACAGACAGATTTTGTTTTCATTATTTTTGGCTCTTTTGATAGTAAAGGTTGCCGACCCCTGGTCTAAGGTAACGAAAACACAATGGTTCTTATTTTCAAGTGACTATAATGTAAAGAAAACATACTTATTATATTATATTCTGACACACTGGGCCTTTAGTTAATGTTTATAACACTTACTGCATTGTGCACATAAGCCAAATGATGAGTCAAATGATGGAAACAGTAAAGCTCTGCTGTAACATTACTGTGAGTTTTTGCTCATGACCTACTGTCAGGACATGGCCCTCATGCGTGAAGCTGGAAAAACCACCAAAGAGAGTTTTATTTTAGGCGTCAAAAAAACAAATCAAAGTCTGTCTTCTTCATGTGACATCTCTGGTTAATAAGTGACATTTGTAGCAATGACTGACCAGAAACATTCTGATAAGACATGTGGAAAACAAAAATACAGACACGATTTTGAGACATTACACTGCACACATTGTGGCAGTGGTGACCAACTCTGGTCATGTTATCTGATCACGTAGTCAGATGATAAAAAACAGACTTTGTTTTTGTTCTACCCGCCACCCTCCTGCTGCCAGAAAATTTAGTTAATTGATCTCTGCTAAGGCTGTGAAGCATTTTAGTCTATTCGGTGAATACTCAGTGAACATGTTGATGTCCCTGTAGGAATAAACATAAACTCACTGGCACAGATACACGTGCAGAACCCAGCTGATGACAGGTTTACAACTGTGATGAACTGGTTACCTTTATGTATCTGATACTGTAGGCTTTATCAGCCTTTTCAAAGATGCATTATGATGTTGGTTAGATATGGGACAGTAGTCTTGTAATAAATGCACTTTGAACAGCCAGATAAATGTGTATTTCATAGGGGGGGACAAACACAATACAGCATACATGGGCGGACCAAGAGACAAAAGGCCCCTGGGCACAGATATGCAAAAGGCCCCACCACCACAACTAGGGGCCGTACACATGCCGTGTTTTTGGCGCCCTCAAATTCATAGTTTTCAGTGTAGACCAGAGCCAGAGCAAAGCCAGAGCAAAGCCAGTGCAACGCCAGAGCGGCTCGCACGCATTCCAGAGCACCTATTTTTCAGGGCGTGACGGCTGCGTCCTGACATAAACCATGACATTCAACATTTGGAATGCAGCAGCACGCACTGCATATCATGTGACGAGGACCAACCAATCACAGCCAACAGATATTTTTCCCTTCTTCCCTAAATATCAGTTTGTGATAAATATGGAGGAGAATTTGATCATGTTAGTGCAGGGCTACCCAGAGATTTACATCTGTCCCACGGACGATAGGCCCAAACACTTCTAAACAGCGCTGCACTCAAGATTTCAGGTGAATAGGCTATGATATGGTGCTTATTAAGGTTGCTTAGTGACCTAAGACGCAACCTGCTACCACGCTCTTGAGAGCTGGCACAAAAAATAGGCGCAAGAGTAGCTCCCAGCGTCTGACCTCATGATTTGCAGGCGGTTAAAGACGCGGCATGTGTATGGCCGCCTACATTTGCATCTCCTTGCAGTCATTAAACATCTTTTTGTGATCTTGTGTCTCTTCGTAGTTCCTTTGCAAATCTTTATTGTCATTTTGAGCCTTTTCCTGGTCGGTATGTTACAGTAATTTGAGTGATATTTTGATATGAATGCCAGTGGAGGCCCTGACACTCTGGGCCCCTGGGCTTCAGTAATCCATCCATGACAGCATATTATCACTATATTTAGCGTGGCAATATTGTATCGATACACAGATGCCAAGTATCACATTATTTATTACATAAATTATTAACATTACAAGTTAAACTTTTGGTAGCCTAATAAACCCAATTGCTTTTGTCAGTCCACAAGAAACGTTTTGCTGTTATAAAGATGATTGATGGGAGATGAACAGGCTGAAAACTGTATTATCATGGTAGATAAAACAGATGTTGACAAAGTTCTCCTTTGGGGTCATAATATGCAGCTGAAAAAAGGTAATAAATGTTATGGCAATACGTTTAAAATCACAATAATATTGTATCACGGGGCTCCTGTATTTAATATCTTTTTGTCATGTATGCCCTCTTTTCCTCATTGCCTCGCTGAGTACTTTGAAAGCTTAAAAGATGCTGTAACAAATATTTAAACATAACATTTTATAAGCCACTTCATGAGCAACAACTGTATAAGATGTCATTTTATATCCTAATGGTATCATGAGATAAAACAATATGCATTAGGGTCGCTATAATCTAGTTTCTCACACCACAGACAGAGAGTATAAGTGCCCTCAGATATGTCAGGATACTGATTCCCAGTCAGTCAGGGATAAAGCTGCACATGCAGCAGCCTGGTGGAGAGTAGACGAGGCTGAGCAACCGACAGCACCTTCTAGAAATTAGCACTGGCCCAGCCAATTAGGAGCAATGTGAGCTGGTGGAAATGCGGAGGCGCGTCGGTGCATCTGTTCAGACTTAAATCATGTGTGTGTATCTCCAGCTTTATCTCCTGATCGCCTCAGTGCAGCCGCTGTTACAACCACCAGGGAGACTGAATCATGCAAAGCCTGCGGGAAGGTGGTTTTAGTGGTGGTGTTAGTGGTGGTGGTGAAGGAGAGAGTGTACGTGTTTGTGTATATAACCTCTAATCCTCACCGTAAATCATTGCCAGTCCGGTTTCGTGGAGGAAACGGACCCGTCTGTGCTTGAAGAGCCATATGGTGAGAATCGTTAAGGTCAGCAGTAAAATGAATGTCAGCAAATTAACGCTGTCCTGTCGGTGACTTTCCTCAGCCTCCTTCTCGGTGGCAAGTTCTTCCATTCCGCCGTCCTCCGCCTTCAGTCCTGACACCGCGCTCAGTAATATCCAAACGGGCATCATGGTGTCCAGCGCGGCGAAGGCTCCGCTCCGCTTCGGCTGTCGGAGAGCGTCCATGGTGCAGGATGCTGCTGCTGCTGCTGCTGCTGCTGACAGCACAGCGTCTCTATGCCATGTCACTGCTGGAAGGTACACACAGCTGAGCCGAGTGGGGAAACAATCCAGTGCTCGCAGATCGTACACTGGCGAGTTCAACCTTTTAAAGGTACACTGCGCGGTGGAAAAAAGGCGAGGAAGGCGCTCCGGAGTGAGACTGCGCTGCCCTTGTGGAAGAGACCAGATCACACTGAGGCTCAGCCTGGCCCCCAAGTCGGCTCCGAGTCAGCCTACTGAGTCATTGTCCTGATATTTTGATGAATGTGCAGTTCAGTGCTGGGTCCGCTTAAAAACAGGAAATTCACATGGGATGTAAAAGTCCAGGATTTTGCAAGATTCAAGTACCCGGTTCAGATAGTGTCGCCTCTTGGGGTGACAGGTGGGATCACACCAGGGCCACAGCTGTCAATTACGACCATATTAACTCTAGTGACACAGGAATATGTTGTCATAAAATGAACTTATAAACAGCTTAACAGTGCTTAAACACAGAAATTACCACAAGAGCAATGTCGCTTACCTCTCCCATGGAGCACAACAGCAAAAGGGGAGAGGTAAGGCGGGAGACACCCCTCTATAGGTGAGGTACCCCCAAAGGTGAACGTAGGGATACAGAAACCGAATATCAAACCTTCAACATATTGACTATGAAGGCCAAAGCGTGTCGGGTAATAACTGAAAGAAATTTTGTGTAATTATAATACTTAATATTACAAATGTATAGATATAGTTGACCCTGTTACATACGTATCCATAGTTGGTGTATAAGCTACAGTAGATGTCACTCAGTTTGGAGAAGGAGGCAGGAGTGTTGCCACCGAAGCTACGCAATGTACTGCTGTGATTGGGGTAGCAACAAAACACATTTACGCCATCTATAAAGAGTCAAATAAAATATTTTCACTGCTTTACCGTTTGTTATATCACTCTCTTCAAAGCCAGACTCCATTGAGAAAAACAGTGATTTAACATCGCTGTACACAGGAGCTGCTGTTCTACTGCTGCAGTTAGGGTGTTTGTGTTATTGTGTGACTTTGGTGTATAAAAGGATTGATTTCGGATTCACTTAAGTCACACAATAACATGACCAAATTAAGTGATCAAGGCAGCAGCTCCTGTGTTCAGCATGCTTAAATTACTGTGTTTGTCAATGGAGTCTGTTGGCTTTGTGGAGAGCATATATGGGGAACTGAAGCTGTTAATAGCTTTTTTGTAGGTGGCTAAAACACAGTTTGCCACTTCCCCCATCCATGGCGGTACATTGCTTAGCTTCCATGTTGGACTCCTGCCTGCTTCTCCAAACTGTGGGCACTTTATGTAATACACTATGGATAAGTACCTCATACGACCCCACTTCAAAAAATCTGCACTATCCCTTTAAAGCGACACTAATCAATATTTTTATGTCATAACAGGTGATCCAGTCATGCCCTGTGCCATCATGTGCTGCACCAAGTGTTGGTGGTTTCACACTGATTTAATGGACTGCTCCACGGCCATATATTTTCCCAGTGAGGTCCACCGCAGTCAGTGCTGCTGTGAGTAAGAAAGGCTTGTGGATGAATGAGGAGGATGAATCTGATGCAACAGAAGCATTCGGAAATCCCATGATTTGCCATCACTTTGACACAACCACTTGTTTAAGGGTTAAAGGAAGTCTGGTGAAATGCCAACTTCAAGCTAAGTTAACAGGGATTTTACATCTGAATTCTATTAGTGGGCTGTTTACTCTTACGCATTACACTGAATGAAATTTAACACTCATTAACCCTTTACCATACACCACCTGCTCCATTAGTAGCAGCAGTTCTGCAGCATTAGTCATTTGTATTCAACAGTACATCAGTCACTTAACGGTCATGTGGTTACACAAAATGAAAAAGGGATGTAGAGAAAGGTCAGGCTTCAGAGCATCTCTCACAGAGGCATGATGGGGGATTACCTATTATTAGAGTGGCCTAGTGGCTTAAGTTGCGGGCTAATCTGATGTCTGTTTGAACATGAGTTACGTGTGGTTTGTTGTGCATGACTGTGTACTTAACCATATAAACCCACACTCAAGAAACCTTGCAAATATATAACTGGGCTGGTGTGTAAAACAACACACACTTGCATGTATTACATTATTTGCTTCAGCACTCTTTACAGTACATTTATTAAATCCCATGATATTATTATTTTATATAAGATATTTTAATGGAGCTGGTAAGTTTATATAAGCAGCTTTTTTTGTGGCAAAGACAGACAACACCCAGAGAGGTGCGTCCAATGTGTAGATGACGGTGCGTTCAGGGTAGTCTGGTAATTAATAGTTTTCATCTTAGACCTGGGTGACCCTCCTCCATGAACGTTGATGCAAGGGATGAGGTCAAATTTAAGAGCACATTATTTTATGATCTGTGGCGCATACGGTGCAACAAGATACAAAAACAGGTACAGAACAAGTTCCACTGTACAAACATATTCTACAATGACAAACATGCCGTGCAGTAAAAGAATAACGTCAATACAAGTGGTGTAAATATAAATACAGACAGTGTAAACAAATGTTAAGTGATGGTGAAGTAAGTAAACAGTTAAGGCAGTTTCCTGAGAATATTTCTGTGGTAGAGTATTTGAACTCACAAATCTTGTATGTCTGCGTGTTTTTATTTTATGTACAATAAAAATGCATTAAAATATGTTTAAAATAAAATCTGTTCTGTACTTGGGTCGTTCTTGTTATGCTACAACATTTCTGTGAGTTATTTCCTCATATTTTCTTTAAAATGCGTCAAATATTTATTACAAATTGCTTAAATTGTAGATCAAGGTCTTCCTTAATCACATAAACACAGACTACAGCACATTAGAACATTTTTTTATATATATTTAAATATACATTTTATAATTTCTTGGGTGTTGGGGGTGAAGTAATCTATTTCTACAAGAACTATATAAAGTAAAAACATATTTGATGTAGAGGGCTCTTGCAGCCCCTCAGCTCTGGATTTCCTGCCTGAGGATCTGAGGTTTGTTGAATCAGTGACATCTTTTAAATCACTTCTTAAAACTTCTCTGTTCTGAAAGTCTTTTATTAATTTGAGCACACTGTTTATTTTATATGTCTTATTTGACTGTTATTATTGTTATTATCATGTATTGTCATCGGTTATTGTATTCTTTTATGTAATTGTTTGATTTGATATACCTCAGTGCAATATACAGGGAAATTGAAAGCCATGAGGGGGGGTACTTGGTCTGTAATAGTGTTTGGGTACTCGTGGCAACAGTACTCCCCAATGGCAGTTGCACTGTTTAGAAATGTCCTGTGGAGCGTGACAAAAAGCTCAAGGTGTGGACCTGGCTTCTAAATTTCCCAGGTCCCAATCTGCTCAAGGATTCTTGTGATGTGCCGGTACCCCAGATGCACCCCGAATCCAAGGTGGGGCCTCCTTGGATCGGACTTGGCTCTGACCTGTGGAGGCATGGACACAGGATCTCTGGGAGTGTCCTGCGATGTCTGGCACCAGTGCATTGGCGGCAGATCCATTTAGTCCAGTGGGTTGTGAGGTGGGTTAATGGCACGTGCCACAGATGCTCATTCAGATTGGGATCTGGGGAATTTGGAGGCCAGGCTGACACTTTGAGGTCTTTGTCACATTCCTTGGGCCATTCCTGAGCCATGTTTGCAGTGTGGCATGGTGCATTTTCCTTGGGGGGGGGGGTACTTGGTCTGCAACGGTGTTTGAGTGGGTGGAACATGTCAGGTGGTATCCACATGAATGCCAGAACCAAAGGTTTCCCAGCAGAACAATGCATTGGAACAAAATAATCAAAATTAATCACTTCACCTGTCAGTGGTTTGAATGTTTTGGCTGAGCGGGGAAGTATAATATAGTATAGTATAGTATAGTATAAGGAAAGGTTAAATTTTTTCTTGTTTGGTTGATTGGTTAAATGTTGTCATGTTTTTGCATTTATGTGTGTTTGTTCCCATTCCTGAGAAGCAACAATGGGTGAAATCAAACCAGATTAAAATCAAATATAAACTAATCTACTTATAAAAAATATTGTTTGAGTTTTTCTGACAATTAAATACGTCCCTATTTTTATATAAATCAAAAAAAAGTGAAAAATCTATAATGTTTCCAGAAGTTATGCCGAAATGATGCTGCATATCAGGAATGCCCCACTTGTACCTGAACGCCTCATGAGTACACACCTCCTCTACGTGAGTCCGTCACTCTATCCGAGGCTGTGATTGGCTCTTGTGAGGACTACCCTGACACCCATTGGTTGCGAAATGAGGCTGGGAAACAGGAAGCCAAAAAAAAAATCTTGTCAACTCAAGTGCTCGTAAGCCTGAGCCTCACATTTCTTCGTGTTCTCCAAGCTACATTACGGTTAGAAGAACTGGTCTTTCCTGGCCGCCATTGAGAGACCAACATGGGGTGCTTCTTCTCGAAGAAATCCAAAAGGAAGTCGGCTGAAAAAGATGAGCGTACACCGACAACAACGACTGTCGAAACTACGACGACAGGCAACGCGGTTCCCCTTGGCAACAACACGGACGAGGCACCGAAGCAGTACAGCTGGGATAAGAGAGAAAAGGTAAACGCAAAATAAAGTCATAACATAAAATAAACACATACCTTATGATAAATGGGAGTCTTCACTAACAAAACTTAGTGTGTCCTCCCGTTTAACATCGTTTAACTTGTGTTTTAAGTCGCTTCCAGATAGCTACAGCACATTTCCAGGAGGGGCTGTTAGCTACTTTTACACCTTAAATGCATGAATTAAAATATCCATAGTGGGTGTAACAAAAACATAACGTTTAGCTACCTCTTATAATGTGTCTACAAGTGTCGTACCAACAGTAATGCTTCCTTATGTAGATATCTGCATTTCTAATCTGATTTCCTGAGGTAAACTAACACTGTTTACGTGCTGAGATTGCGCAGCAGCGTTTTATCACGACACCCAGTCCCAAAATATGCAGCCCTACATATTAACTGTTACTCAACCAGGCACAGGATGCATGTAATGCTCATTATATAGTTACTACTCTCCTGAGTTTTAGGCTCAGAGCCTCTCACTACATGTATCCTGCGTTATCTCATTATCGGATTACAACACGGTTCACTGTTCCGCAGCTGACCAACACTTGTTCAGACATTACAGGCGTTAACTCACTCAGCGGTGGTTCAACTTCCGTTTTGACTCATGGGATGTTGCACCTAAACTGTGGTCTACCGAATAACACACCACACCGTGCAGTATCAGGCTGAAAATAAGTTAGTACACTACCTGAAGTGGTAGGTTGTCAGATTACACTCGTGCAGAAAAAGCCAAACAAGTTCGATATGAGTGAAATACGAAACAAAATAGATACCATACACGATTGGCATAATCATGTCTAACAAGCTTTACCTCCACCCCTCCCTAACACAGACTCAATTTTGTCATTTTTAAGGAGGGCTGGGGGTCTTTAGCGGTAGATAGCAGGTCAACATACATCATCTGAAAGCTGGGAATGTGAAGATTATTTGTTTTTCTAGTTTTTCCAGACATAAATATGTAAACCATGTGTCTTGGCCATCCCCATGCCTGTTTATGTCTCGTAAGTCGTTGAAGTAATTTTTGGGTTGATCTCATTTGTTACTCAGACTTGATGTTAAATTTAAGCATTTTTTACCACTCCAGAATTTATAAAATGGTCTAATACTCCACCAGAATACAACATTAAGACACCAAGACTTTGAGGAACACTACAGAGAAATGTGTGATCTGGTATCAAAAACTTTTGACATTCGGAGGTGTTTGTAAGAATTACATTTTTCAGTGATTGGTGAGAATATCTGTTCTGCAAACTGATAAAAAAACTCCATATTGTAAACCATTCACCCTCTGAAAGCCCGAGGTCTCTAGTTTGTTGCTGTAAACTTTTGATTATCCTAGAGGCCACAATAGGTCATTTTATACTACAAGGTCAAGTTTAAAAAAAATTGGTCTCCCTACAACAAAATGGTGTCACACATGAATATCATAGGGCTCACTGAATCTACAAGAGTCTCAGCTTTCCAGTCATACCCATTTTTATGCAATTCCAAGACTGTTTGCAGACATATTCAAACACTATAGGTGAAAATAACAAATTTGTACTGCACGTGAAAAACGCATGGGACTAGCATAAAGTGGGCATGTCTGTAAAGGGGAGATTCATGAGTTGCTGTAGAACTATTGTCATTCAGATGTCTTGAGTTGAGAGATCAAGGCACCCCTGTGAAAATGGCTATACCAGTTTTTCCCTCGCCAAAATTTAGCCCGACTTTGGAGCATGAGTTAAAAGGAACAGTGTGTATGATTTAGGGGGATTTATTGGCATCTAGTGGTGAGCATTTCAGATTGCAACCAGCTGAAACTCCTTCTGGTTATAATTCCTTCAGTTGTCTTTTAGCGAAAGCCGAGTTATCCACAAAGGTCTCTTCCTCTTAAACACAAATGGACCAGGTGATTAAAACATGTAAAAACACTGAATAAAGCAGTTTCACATAACAAATCATTGTTTTTCTGACATTGTTTGGCACGTCAGAGACTGGCCATTAGCCCAGCGCCTGCTAAGTGCGCTCACCTTTTTTTCCTGATAAGATCCAGATGCTCCAGAGGTTTTTAATAGGAACTACATTGTCCACAGAGGTCTCTTCCTCTCTAAAACAAATGCACCTGGGGTTTAAACAGGTAAAAACACTAAATAAAGCAGTTTCACATTAATAAAAAAAAAAATCAGCATTTTTCAGACGCTCTTGTCACAGAGGGGTTGCTTATGGTGGCCAAAGGGAAATTATGGAAACTGCGAATGGCCCTTTCTAGAGCTAGCATTTGGTTTGTCTGTTCTGGGCTACTGTAGAAACATGGCGGTGAGACATGGCAGTCTCTATGGATGTGGACCTGCTCCCTATGTAGCTTTAAAGGCTCATTCTAAGGTAACAAAAAAGATTCATAATTTCAGGTGATTATACTCTAAAGAAAACACACTTATATTATATTCCATTTCTGCCACTAAATCTAAACTAAATTCTTAGGTTTTCTAGTTTAATATAATACCAGTATCTTCACTAGAGTTTAAAAATGTCGCCTGCTGCAGCCTCAAACTGACAGAAATGTCAGCTGAGGACGCTGACGTCCTAGCGAAGTGGAAGAGGTTAATGTGTTCTTATGAGTCTTACAAAAATATCAGCATTGTTATTGGATGATGGAGGTAGAAATAAATCCGATGCTGGTGTGGTTTAAAAAAGGTAATTTGAAACAACTCTCCAAATATTGTTTGAATACTCATCCTGTCACCTTTTGCTTTGCTCAGGTTGATCCTAAAGACTACATGCTGACGGGGCTCAAAGATGTCACGGTGGGCCGTCTGCCTGGCAAACTGAACGGGCAACAGTTTGTCATCCAAGAGTGTGAGAACTGCAATATCTACGTGTTCGACCACTCGGCGACAATCACCATCGATGACTGTGTCAATTGCCGCATTTTTCTAGGACCTATCAAGGGCAGCGTGTTTTTCAGAGACTGTAAAGACATCAAGTGCGTGGTGGCCTGTCAGCAGTTCCGCACACGAGACTGTAAAAAGATGGATGTGTTCTTGTGCTGCGCCACTCAGCCCATCATCGAGTCGTCGACGGGTATGAAGTTCGGCTGCTTTCAGTACTACTACCCCGAGCTGGCCTTCCACTTCAAGGACGCCGGGCTCAGCATATTCAACAACAACTGGAGCAACATCCACGACTTCACGCCGGTGTCTGGGGAGAACAACTGGAGCTTGTTGCCAGAGGCTTCAGCGGTTCTTGATTTTGTGCCACTCCCAGACACCGAGTCTGAGTTCAAGTCAATTCGAATCTCCACTGACCCTGAGCGCAGCATTGTGCCTTTGACAAAGGGAGGGAGGCGTAAGGACAGTGAAGAGTCCTGCCTCTTTGTTTTCTTCGCTGGAGAGTACACCACTGCAAACGCCCGCAAACTGATCGATGAGGTGAGAAGAACAAAAAGGACCTGAGTGTCAACAGGTTTCACTTTAACACTATTAGTCATGAAGTGCTAAAAAAAGGAGGAAGTCTTTTTTAGTATGTAAATGGAAAATGTTGGTGTCAGAGTTTACTCACTGATAAGGTTATGGTGCAGTCAGCCATGCTTTAACTGGGGTTTAAAAAGCTGCAGACTGAAATGAAAGAAAAGCAAAACCATGTTAACGATCACAGCCTGCATCATTTTATACGAAGGAACAGAAGTATATCAGCCAAATTAAACAACTGGAGTTTACATTACTGATATACACAAAAGTAGGTTAAAGATAACATGTCTCAAAGCACAGACACATACTGACATCAAAGAACTAGTGCCGATGAAGGTCGACTGTTGCATCGCCTCACGTCGCCTATGTCTCGGCCACAACCTTGCACCTGAATACGCTGCAGCCAGCAGCCAACTAGCACATACACCTGCGTGAGAGGAAATAACTCTGCAGCAGCAGGTAGTCTGTATTCATCATTCAAATACTGACACCAGCAGCACATCACCAACCCAACCCAGTGTTGAAAGAAGAAATTATAGTTACTGTGCGCTAGACAATGATAACACAAGCAATTACAAACCAATTCTTCTAAAGAGCTCAATGGCTGAAAAAATAAGCTCAACTAATGTCGCAAGTTTGTTTTGATATAATGCCATCTTGACTTTAGTCGTCTGTTTGCTTTCCTTGTTTCCATTTCTCTTCTCATTTACGGAGCTGAACTAAGTTGCTCATCATACTGGAGTCATTCACCAACATTTTAATATCCTGAACCGCCCAAAAAACAAGCAACAAGTGTAAAGATTCTCTGATTTCAGCCTCTTAAATGTGACAGTAAACTGAGTATCCTGGGCTCTGGAAAACACTGACTGATATTTTTCACCACATTCTTACATTATAACAAACAAGTAATCGATTAATTAAGAAAATAATCGAAAATGAAACAAAAATAGTTGTAGCCCTACTTGGAGTTTAAAGGTGTACTAAGCAGGACTGTCCGTTACCCAACCACAGATTCACTCTTGTTGGGCGTTTCACCTCACTACATTTACATTTTTCTGACATGGGGTCTCTTGTATGCCTGCTGCTTATGGTCTGGCACCTGGTCAATACCTTTTTATATAAAGCTCTGACCTCACCTGAGGGCTGTGGGGGACACGCCCATAAATGCCTCAAGCACAGAAAACAAGAAGAAACTAAGAAAATACAGGCAGAGGGCAAGGTCTCTGCAGAAAATGCATCGCCACAAACTTCTAGTGGGTCATAAGAGATGATTTAGAGGGATGACAACAAGACTGTCTGTCTTTTAACCAGTTTTAAACTGAGTGAAATTGATAGTCTTGTAGGGAGAGCATTCCACTGTTATGTTGCTGTAATTGAAAAGGCTAATTCTGTTGAGACATGTTTTATGCAACAGTGTCCCCTGATGATGATCTTGTTTGTCTTATTTCACCATTAACTGTAAGAATAAATTGTGTAAGGGGTGGCGGAGCTAACACACACACACAAAGTTCTTTTGTTTAGCTGACTGTAAACTTGTAGAAAGCTGCATCTGAAACGCTAAGCCGGCATGCTAAGCTGGCTGTGTTGCTACTTAAACATTCCAGTGATGTTTGTAGTGTTGCCAAAATATGCATTACTCCATCACAAAAGCATGAGACTGGATCCACATGTGGGACGGTAAAGACAGCTTGTTGCAGTTTATCTCCTCTGTGTGTGTGTGTGTACATGGAGGTTCACTGCAAACCTAGGATTTTTATTATATAACTCTTTTCTGTCTTGTTTGCACAGGCAACTGCTAAAGGTTTTGTGCTGATCCAGACGAAGGAAGTCTCAATGAAACCTGAAGATGTGAAGAGGGTGTTTCAGAACAATGCAGAGGATCTTGTAGAGTGGATCACCAAAGGTAATTTCCCTTTGTTTTTCTGTTACAACTGCTGCTCAGAAACTCAGCTAGATATGTTGGACCTCATAACACAAAGCAGTTTCATAATCTTTAGCTACAGCTGGTTCATATTTTTGCTTTTAATGAGTATCAGGTTGTGTTGTAGAAACTGAAGCAGAGTCAAACAAGCACTGTCTGTCTTAAAATGTCAAAACTGGCAGGAGGTCAGTTTACACACTTCCAATTTCCATGAATAATACTATTAATAATAGTTTTTTTAAGCAAATGTATCAGAAACTTGGATTCTTTCTTCCACCCAAACTCTTAAAGGCAGCCTCACTCCCTCTCAGACTGCAGTTTGCTGTTTCTGTTAAATAAGGACTTGGTCAACATGCACAAAAGATTTTGATTATGACATTATGACGCCAATGTGGTGTTAGTTGCATCTAAATAAGCACTCAGATTTGGTAGTGAATACTGGAATGCAGTTACTGTTTCATAACCAAATTGTGTGTTGACGTTAGAGCTGCACCGTATGTCTTTTTATTACATTCAAATTATCTGTTGAGGTTTTCAAATGATGCTTTGAATGTCTTTCATCATATTTTATGAAGTCATAACCCTAAAAAATCCTCACACTACATGCTACATTTGAATAAAGTGATTCTTCAAATTAAAATTAACAATCAAATCTGTTTTCTTTAATCGATAAATGTAATTTAGGGTGCCGTTAGTTTGGTGCTGGACCGTCCTGCCTGCCTTTGTGTGCAGCAAGAGGGAGAGCAAACAGTATTTTGAACACTGTAAAAATTTTGGTTTTTGAAAGACTAAATGACAAATGTGGATTAAAGCAAAATATTTTATGAGATAAAAATATGTAGTGAATTTTGAAAATGATTACACCTATGTTTTTTACAATAAATTTAGACTGTTGGACATTATTAGCTCTGAAGTTATTGGAAATGTTTGGACCACACAACGAGTCTGAAACAATCCTACACACCTGCAACAATGGATTTTTTTATAGTCATTTCCCTGTTAGTGATCGTTAAATTTTATCCTGAATCTTTTGTGTACTTCGTTAAATCAGTTTCAACATGAGTGCTATACGAATAAATCATTTTCGATCCTTCTGACATTTAATAATAATGATAATTTAGATTTTACCTCTATGGTGGTTCGCAGAAACGTGATGAATTAATGGCACAGATGCTATAAATATCCACAGCCGTGCCCTGAGATAGCTGCTCTGGCACCGTTGGAAGAATCTTACGATGCAACACAGACAATGAAATTGCAATAGGCCTAATAGGCCTTTCTTACAGCTAACATTTTGACTTGTTGTGGTAGATAAAGCACAGGTGTCACTAATTACACTAACGATGGCTCTTTGCTATTCAAGTGCTCCAGTGAGAGTGACAATGAACCAGCATGCATGCATGATGAAAGGCTCCTGAAATCAAAGCAGATAAATGGAATTCAGCCATCATTAATTTCATTAATTACACCTGTGATTTTCCGGCTGTGACATGTCACGCCTATGAATGTTGGAAGGGCACAAGTATCGACATGGAAATATATGTTTAAGAGTGTTTACACATCTATCTACTGCCAACTGTGGGAGTGGAAATAAGGTTTGCCCCCCCCCCCCGCAACCTCCAACAGGATAAATGGCGATGAAAAATTAATGATGTATTTAACTGTAGTGTAAATGTAGCTGTGGAGTCGTACAGTCGTTGAATATGTGTTGAAATCACTAATTTGGGCTGTTAGTGACTCTTCTGTCTCACTAACAAAGGTCCTGTCATCGCCCTGGAGCTGAACGGTGATGGAGTCGTGGAGGCCTGCAAGAACATCGCTAATGAAGTGTTCAGCGGGACCAAGGTAATTGTACTGTAGTTGTGCCATGTGTCTTTTCTAGTTTTATAAACATCAGTTCTCCTTTTGTAACAACAAAAAAATCAAACTCAAAACATCTTTTTTTCCCCACAGCTCTTTGTCTCTGACAACAAAAATACGTCCTCTCGAGACGTGGACAACTTCTTCAACTTCGCTGACATGCAGATGGGCTTGTGAACAATTAATTATCCAAACCAAGTGCTCGTCAGACATTTAATCTGATCTTCTAACCCCCCCCCCGCCGCCGTCCAGCTTGGGTTGAGTATGAGTAGAGTTTGATTATTGCCTGTTTTTGTCCTAAAAATTGGATAGCAATGAAAAATATTAATGACTGTGTTTGACAAAGCCTGGGATAAATCAATTCATCTCCCCATCATCCACCAACATCAGCTGTAAACCACTTAAGACCCATTAGTTGCTGAGAGTGCTGTGAATATTTATATTCCTATGAATGTATTCTGTTGCTTTCTATCGATTGTGAATGTAGCTCTTTGCTGTAAATGTAATTCATCTTAATTTAAAGCTTTGTTTTTCTTTACTGTCTGAAACCGCTGCTGCTGTGGGAAAACCACCAGCACACGAATGCCTGAGGGAAAAGATTTTATACATATTAAATCATATTTTTATTTCTTACAAGGATTTATTTGTGTATGTGGATTAGATAAAGGATGTGTTTTGAAATGTGTATATTTGAGACATGCTGTGTAGATGATAACTACATCTTTACTGATATCTGTTAGGCCAAAGTTGTGAACGTTTTGTGTTTTGCTCTTGGTGCAGATGAATTAGTGTGTTTCCACTGAATCGTGTGAACACTTGTAAAATTGCTGGGTTTTTGATGTAGGCAACTCATGTGACCATCATTTTTATTTTGTAATATTTGTTTTATACTGAATGTTTTTGTATAGACACAAATTAATGTTCTTTATCATCATTTTTAGTAAAAAATTATATGTGACTTTATTTTCTTGTGATGCTTTTAACACTTGTGCTGTTGGGAAAACAGCATGTTACAATCATACTGGTTATAGGGAGACAAACTTGAGCAGATGTAGATAAAAACAGTCTATTTTAGAACTGCAGTGATTAATCGATTAGTCAGTCAATAAAATTAATTGGCAACTTTTTTGGTAATTGAATAAAAGTTTAAGCAATTTTTTTAAGCAAAAAAGGCAAATATTTTCTGCTTTGTGCTTCATAAATGTGAGAATTTGATGCTTTTCTTAGTCGTAAGTGATAATAAACTGAATAGTTTTGGGATTTTGGACTGTTGGGCCGATATTTAAGGAGGTCACCTTGGTGGCATGCTTCACTATTTTCTAACATTTTATTGACAAATGATTAATCGAGACAATAATGGGCAGATAAACTGATAATCTTTAGTAGCAGTCCCGGTCTGTAATGATCAGCAAACCCACTTGGTTTTAAGGTTGTCATTGTTTCCCCTCTGTAACCTGATCAACCTCTTTTTTTCATAGAGTTCCCTAAATTCTTGAGCTATTTGAATTTTTTGAACAAGCTGTAAATATAAATACTCGTCTGACTGCTTGGGATTTTTTTGTATGTGCGTGTTAATCTGGTAAAAAAGTACCAAACATCTCTCGATCACTCGTCACGTTAGTGAATCACTTTCCCTAGATGTTGCTATAGAAGCACGTTGCCTAAATATTGAGACTAGTTTCATTTTTCAAATGGAAAAAAAAATGACCCACTGCAGCACTTCTCTGTAGCAGAGTGAATCATGGGTTTTTCTTAACACTGTGCTGTCTTCCTCAGTGAGTCACAGTTAGCAGTTTTCACTTCAGCTATTTGACTTCCACCTAGTTAAAACAGCACTTTCATCATTTGGTTTGGTATCGATTGTTCCCAGTCAATGGCTAACCGCTCGACTTCACTCAGTCTGTGTTGGGACCTATCAATTATTAATTAATCAGTGATAATAAGATGCGTACACGCAGCACTTTTAGTTAAAGGGACACTTCAACCACAAATTAAAAGTACATATTTTCCTTTAACCTGTAGTGCTTTTTATTAATCTAGATTGTTTTGGTGTGATTTGCCGAGTGTTGGAGATATCAGCCATAGAGATGTCTGCCTTCTCTCCAATATACTGGAACTAGATGGCACTCGGCTTGTGGTGCTCAAAGCGCCAAAAAATACATTTGAAAACAACAGCGATGTCTCTTTCCAATTGTCATGACCTGGTTACTCAAGACAATCCACAGACCTTGTTGTGAGCAGTTTCATATAGGAACTATTTTCTTTCTACTGAGCTACACCTGCCAACTGTATCACTGCGCAGAAGGAAGGGTGCATCTACTGCTAGCTCACCTAGCACCACTGAGCTAGCTAACATTACAGCTCAGCCAAGGAGGACGCCATTAATGTTTACATCTCGCACTGTCATGAGCACAAGGTTCTCCATGAGGAGATGTACACTTCCTTCTGCACGGTGATGCAGTTGGTGGGTGTGGTAGAAAGAAAGTAGTTCCTACATGAAACTGCTCACAACAAGGTCTGTAGATTGTCCCAAGTAACCAGGTCATACTTTATGGAAAAAGACATGGCTGTGGAATTTATCAAATGTAAAGGCAAAGGCACTTTGAGCATCTTTGAGAGAAGGCAGACATCTCCAACACTTGTGACTGATAAATAACACTACAAGTACAAGGAAAAAACTGTATCTTTGATTTTGGGGGGTGAACTGTCCCTTTGAAGCTAACTTTAGCCTGATATATCAGACTGGTTTGTACAGTTGCCTTTAAGAAAACCAAACATGGGGACTTCTTGCGATGTACTTTTGTATTTGTAAACCTTTTGTACTTGAGCACACAGTTTTTGTAGAGCAGTTTGTCTTTATGAATGCACATTTGTCTGTAATCTGTTGTTTCTACACTTAAAATGACACCTTGTCTTTTTTAAATGACAGAAACACATTAAAAGCTGTAGAATATCTGAAATCACATTGGTGACTGTCTGATTTGTTGTTCAATATCGGTGTATTATAATGTATGGAAGATGAAAAAAGGACTTAAGAATCAATCAATAAATAAATAAATAAATGTATAAATACATAAGTACATAAATAAATGTATGAATGAATACAGGAATAAATGCATGACTGTATTTATAAATAAATACATAAGTACATAAATAAATAAATGCATGAATAAATACAGGAGTAAATAAATGAATATGTATATATAAATAAATTAAATAAATATCTAAATTAATAAATAAAAGAATAAAGTGCTAGAATAAATGCTGAAATAAATGCATACACACATTAATAAAAAAATAAAGTAATGAATTGTTGAAATAAATATGGAAATAAATACACACATGCATAAATAATAAAAAGTTGATAATTAAAGAATATAAATAAATATCTTTTATTTCTACATTTTGTACAACTACATTTATTTATGTATTTACGTGGCTGTATGTTAATGAGGAAGGATGTCTAAACCTATGCATTTCTTTATTTATTGAAGCATTTATTAATTGTGCTCTTTGTTTATTTCTGTATTTACTTCTTCATTTATTAATTATTCTTGTTGTATATTTCTGTATTTTTCTGCATTTATTTATATTTTTTCTGTATTTATTTCAGCATGTATAATTACTTTTTATTTATTTATTTATTTCAGCATTTATTCATTATTTTTATTTAATTTTTGTGTTTATTTCAGCATTTTCTATTTTTTCTGTATTTACTGCAGCATGTATAATTACCTTTCATTTATTTCTGTATTTAGTTCAGCATTTATAATTACGCTTTATTTATTTATGTATCTATTTCAGCATTTTTTATTTATTTTTGTTTATTTCAGCATTTTCTATTTTTTTTCTGTATTTATTTCAGCAATTAAGTGTTCTTTCAATTTATTTCCTTATTTATTTCAGCATTTATAATTACTTTTATTTATTTATGTATTTATTACAGCATTTATTATTTTTTATTTAATATCTGTGTTTATGTCAGCATTTTCTATTTGTTCTGTATTTATTTCAGCAATTATTAAGTATTATTTTCATTATTTCCTTATCTATTTCAGCATTTATCATTTTTTAAAATTCATTTTCGTATTTATATAATCATTAATCTATTTATTTTTATTTTCTTCCTTGATATTTGTGTTTTTCCTCCATCATTATCACTGTTATAGATTATATAGTACTCCATGGATTGAGGTAAACGCCAGTGAACAAATCGAGCGCACCCATGTTGGAGAAAAAGCGGCGGGGTTTAGGACCCGGCGGGAGGCGCGGTACAATAGAGCTGTTGTGCCGTGGTGGTGGACAGATTGCTACCCTGGAGATCCCCACTGTGGTGGGATACAAAAATTCCCAAATTTAATCCATAGCCGGAACCAGAGCCCGTGTGTGTTTATAGGTGTGTGTAGTGAGTTTGGTCCGGACCGATATGTGGTTGAAATAAAGCGGACAGCAGCGCGTGGACTGGAGGTAAGATGGGAGGAACGTGAACAATATGCTCGTGTGTTCAGTGGAGCTCAGTGTGCCAGGATTTGCCCTGCATGGTTTATCCAGGCCACGGGGCCTGCTCTCTTTCTTCCTGCTTTCCCAGGACTATTTCTCCTCTTTTATTACACTAATATCAGCGACTATTGCGGGAACGAGCTCCGGATAGTTTCCTGTTCCCTACAGGGAACATTTAACCCAGCTGAGCTACATGAATATTCGTCTTAATGGATCTAGGAAGTGACATCTTTGTATGATGGTGGCGCCCGTGTTTGATTTCTCCACAGCCTGCCTGCCTGCAGCATGCCACACAATCACAGCCAGGGTTAAAAGCAAGAAGGATTTAACTCACAGTGGATTTATCTGTGTGCATACAATGAAAATAAGTCAAGATTAATATAGAATAGAGCATCAACAACATGGAAAAGATACTTTAAAATCAAATGTCATGTAGAATGAGAGCTTAACAGCTTATTGCAGGGTGTGCAGAAAGGCCTCCGTGTGTGTGTGTATGTATGTGTGTGTGTGTGTTTGGCGCCAACTGGGCTCTCTGGGCAGGGCAGGCTCTCGCTTGTTTACGGTGTTAGGTCTCTAAAAGCACCCACTCCACTTGTGTCTCAGTGTGGTCATAGTTAACACCCACTCTTTGGCACATTTGGGACAATACACGGAATGAGAAAAGAAATGTAAACAAGACAGAAACCGCAATTTGGTCATTGTTTCCTGTTACCCAGGAACCTCTTGGCAGTGTGATGTAATATCCGTGCACATGCACCGCCTGCAGCCCCCCAAGCCTTTAAGTGACTCTGTGTTTTCTCAATGCGCTGACCTGTGGTGACTGAATTTACCTGTGTGTACACCAAACTGTAATGCAGCCTAATCATAAGATAAGATAGGCTACACCTTTATTGATCCCCAGCAGGGAGGGCCAATGGTTGCAGCAGTACAAGGACTAAAATAAATATAGAAAGTAATAGATTGTGTGATTAATAGCAGCAGAGTCAACAGTCTATGTAAACAGTGATCCACGATATGATATTATCATGATACCTAAGTCACTATACAATATTATTGCAATTTTAGATATGTTGAGATATGCTGAGTATGCGATAAAATATATTCTAATTATAAGATAAAGTTTTCAGTCTGTTCATCTCTTCAGCCATGTTTTGCAGCAAAGGACTGAAAAATAAATTGATTATATTATTATAGTAGGCTACCTAGAGTTTATTTGTATTTGTCATGTTAATAATTTATATATGAAAAAAATCGATACCTGGCACTGTGTGATGATACAATATTGCCACTCACAAATATCGCGATATTATGCTGTATTGTTTTTTTGTGAACACCAGACTAATATATAGGATTAGGTATTAAGTATTGCAGTAATATTTTAGTATCATATAACATAACATAGTATGGTAAAAATAGTATTTAAATGTAATGTAGCATAATGTAGTCTTAGATATAATG